AGTCCCCGGCTGGGCAGAGGACAGCTTTGCAGGCCTCATCCCAGTCCTAGCCCCAGAGCCTGGAGGCACTCAAAGGCTGCTGGCCTACAACTCTGGGCCCAGTCGGGGTTGGAACCACAGTTCGGTCAGGACTAGGGAAGTTACTCCCAAGCCCAGCTCCAAGGCCTTGGCCCCGTCAGCATAGCTCCTACTTCACTGTTGGTGAGCCCCTCACTGCCTGGAGCCCCTACCTCACTGTTGCTCTGAGCTGAGTGGAAACCCACTAGAGTTTCCTTCCTGCAGGCCACAGGGCTCACTGGCCCCCCCCCCCTAGATCCCAGATGCCACAAAGCAGGATGGCACAGAGCACCCCTTGAAGGCCCCAGGGGTCTCCGGACACATATGGCACTGGCTGGGTTGCCAGCCCCACAAAAAACTGTCTACAGTGCTCCCAGGAGCACCATTGTGCGGGGTACCGGCCAGCTCAGGGCTCTCCTCCCACCCTGCCCTTGTCCAGCTCTCTGGGATGGGTAGCCTGCAGATGGAGCAGCAGAACTTGGGTCCCCACTGCCCTGACCTCGCAGGGTGCCCCCAAAGCTGGGGGCTTCCCTCTGCACAGTCCCTGGTGCTGTGGCCCAGCAGGCTCCTGGGCATGAGACCCGCTATCCTCCATCCTGGCCACAGGGAGCCAGGCCAGTTCGACACCACCCCCCTGCCTACTGGTGGGGGTGCCATCTGCTCATGGCTCTGGTTGCCTTTCCGTGTTATGTCTCCTCATCCACCCGGGGCTGGCAGAGCTGCTGCCCTGCACGCCCAGCTCCTCCCCAGCCAGTGAGGAGAAGGTGCTGCCCAGGGCCAAGCAGGGCCCGCTGTCCGGACCAGGCGGCGGCTGCCGGAGGGGGGCGGGGGGGTGGGCCTTTGTCTGCAGCAGCCTGCTGGGCCAGGCTCACACAGCAGACTGTGGGGGAGGCCCTGTGTGGCACCCGTCCCCTCCCCCCCAGCGCCGCCTCCTGCAAGCTGTGGTCCTCACAGCCTCGAGCCTCGCCCCTCCCCCAGCCCCGCGTGCTCCGTGGGAGCGCCCTCCGTCCGCCGCACTTAGCGCGGACCCTGCGGGCCCCGTGGCCCCGAGGCCCCGCCTGCTTCCCTAGGGCTGGGCTGCCCGCCGGCTGGGTCCGCGCTGCACCCCCACCCCCCACCCCGCCCCAGGCTTCCTGGTCCGCAGAAGCCATTAGTCTGCAGGCAGAGATGGGTTCGCTATTGATCCTTAGGCCACTTCTTGTTCTCACATCCACACTGAGCTCTTCTCGCCCTTCCCGGGCTCACTGAGTCTTTGCTGCCTGCTGCTGCGGGTACTGCGCTCTGGAGAGAGGCCCGGCCACCGTGATGCCTCGAGCCTGGAGTTTGAAGTAGAGCAGCCAGGGCTTTGGCCTCTGTGTGCCCTCCCGTTCGGGTCACAGTCATCCTTGACCGAGGAACTGCGAGCCAGTGTGTTAACAACAAATGGCAGAGGCACTGGCACGGGAAGAGGAGGCGTCCAACACCCACAGCTGGGAAGGCCTCTTCTCCCTGGGACCCTCACGGCCCACACAGAGGCATAGCCTGGCCCACAGGGGACAGGGGCATGTCCCATGGGGGTTCTGCGCTTGGCCTGTCTTGGAGATCTGGACCCCCATGTCCTGTGCATTCTGCCAACTTTCACTGTGGACATCTCTTACAGGATTCAGTGCCAGCTAGCCTGCAGGTGAGGTCAGAGGAGACCCCACTGCCAGGTGCTGACCCAGGACCATGGGCCCCTCTGCAGGACACCCCTTGCCTTGCTGTCAGCCCTCCTGCCCTGCCTGCGTGGTCACTGTCCTGTGCCCGTGGACATCCTCACCAGGGCCCTCTCTGCCTAAGGCTCCTGGAGAAGATTGTCCTCTGCCTCCGCCCTGCATCCTCTGTCCCAGTGACCACACACCTGCCTGGTGTGGCTCTGAGCCCGGACTGTGCCCAGCCCAGCACTATCCTCAGGGCCACCTCTTCCTGGTGGCCTTCGGAGCTGTAGGGCTGAGAGCTGTGGTTGTGCCATCTGACCCTTCTGAACCCCCACCTTGCAGGGGGAGGTGACTCCCTGGTGCCTCTAGTTCCCCATGTGGGGTGTGCATGTGGTGTCCACCCCCCAGCAGAAGGCCACACACCATCCGTCCTGTCACCTCCCTCCCTACTGCCACAGCAGACCTCATGGAGGGGGGACCCTGGCTGGCTGTGACCTCCAAGCTTACCGGGCAGCAAGGCCACTTCCCCTTTGGCCATGCTCAGCCACCAAGCTCGGGTCTCCTGGCCCAGGCCTGGTTGCCCATTCCCAAGAAGCCCTCGTGTGAGCTTCAGAGGTGAGGGCTCAAAGTTGGAATTCAGATCTTGCCTTCACTGCAGCCTCCCTGGACAACAGCACGCTGCATGGGAGGTGCTCAGCCTGGTCAGCAAGTGGACAGCACTCCTCTCTACTCCTGTGTCCTCTACACCCCAAGTCCATCTCCAGGGCCGTGCGGCCAATTGGAAGAAGGTATAGTTGGGCCTAAAGTAGTGGGGTGATCACATCCATGCCCCATTGGCCGCTCAGGACAGTCATGCCCAGGATGCCAGTGCCTGAGTGACTTCTGCTCCTGGGGTGTCCCTGAGGGCTTTGGGTAGGAGGACCACATGCTTCCCCAGGAAGCACTGGACTTCCCATCCACACTCAGCACCGATGCTTCCCACATCCATGCCACCATCAGGCCCAGTCTTTATGTGCTGGGCACAGAGACAGCCAGGGAGTGCTCGGGTTGCAACACCACTGTGCACAGGTCCTGGCCCAGCCTGTGACCCTGACCATGTCACCAAATACTGAGACTAGGAAGCAGGCCAGGGAGACCAGCCCTGGCACAAGAGCCCATTGGGCAGTGGGTGGCTCTTACCTTGGCTGCTCTGGTCTGGGCAACCTGCCAGGACAGCCAGCCAGTGCCACTGCCTTGCTCACAGGTACCAAGACAGGGCCAGCGCCACGTGGCCCCTGAGAGAAAATGTGGGGAGTAGTTGATTTCAAGCCCCAGGGGTTTGGGGGAGATCAGGAGCCCTGGAGAGTAGATCAGAGCCCACTCTCTGCGACAGCCACACAAAAGAGCTGCACCAAGACACCAGAAGCAGTGGCTTCCAGCCTCAGGCAACAGGGGAACCAAAGCAGTGAGCCCCAACTGTGGAGTTGGGGTGGCCCTGCGGAGCCCTTAATGGGAAGCAGCCCTGCCCCAGTCCAGGGGGAGAAGACAGCACCAGTGGGCCTGGGTCTGAGAGGACAATGCCTGTGAAGTCCCCACCTGAGGGAGGGCTCCAGTCTAAGGACAGAGCCCTCCAACCTACAGTGGGTTGGGCACTAAAGTACAGTCCCCTTGAGCCAGGCACCCAGCCATGCGCCAAAGGGACACAGAAGGACTGGGGCTTGATCAAAGGAGGCTCACGATATCCAGCCAGAGCCAGATACAGTGGTGTACATCTGTAACCCCAGCTACACCAGAGGCTGAGGCAGGAAGATCACAAGTTCAAGGCCACCCTGGGCAATGTAGCAAAACTTTGTCTTAAAATTAAAGGAGTGTGAATATGGCTCCGGACAAAGGTTCAACTCCCAGCACTGCAAAAAAAAAAAAAAAAAAAAAATGTCTGCTGGAACTCAGGAAGGAAGTGGACACTGGCCCTAGCAGCCGTATGATGGAGCCCCACTGCAGGAAGCTGCAAGCTGGAGGCCTTGATGTGGGGGCAATTGAGGTCCTGACTGCAGTGGGTCTTATCATCTGGTCTGGCATGGGGCACAGGGCGTCATTCTTTTTTTTTTTTTTTTTTTTATCTTTTTCCTTTTCATCGGTACCGGGGATCGAACTCACGACTGCCTGCTTTCAAGGCAGGCGCTTATGCCGTTGAGCTAAATCCCTAGCCCCTCAGGGCGTCATTCTTGTTGGGGGTGCTGAGTGGGCTGGAGGAGAGGCATAGGTGACCAATCCCCTCTGGCTCCAGATGGGGGTGGAGGTGGAGATGGGGCCCATTTGCTCTGTGCCTGGCACAGGGCAGTTCTGTGCATTTAGGCGGCTCAGGCAGTATCTCAGAGCCCTTCTCTGTTAAGGGGAGAGCAGGGTCTTCCTCCGGAGCAGTTTCGAGGTCCCAGGGAGTCCCATGGAGCAGGACGTCATTCCCTGGAGCCCCTAGCCCCGTCCTGGAGATTTCTGGGCACCTCCACAGTGGGAGGAGGCTCTGCTCTGCCAGGCTGAGCGTCTGGGGCTGGGTGGCAGGTGACTGGGGCGTCACCGTCAGTGCCTCCTATGAGCTGCCTTCTCACCTCTCCGGCGCCTGAAATAGAGCGGGGGTGAGAGGAGGCTGGCGCCCGCAAAGGCCCACCACACGTGGTTCCCCAGAATGGGTAGCAATGTTCTGGCCTTGGGAGGTGGGGCCGGCCCAAGGCGGCCACCAGCCCACAAGCCTCAGGCTCTGACCTCGGGACCCCTGGAGTTGCGACCCAACCTGCCCAGACCTGGAGTGGAGGGCACTGCGGAGAGGTGGTCCAGAAGGATGGGCTGAGCAGGAGCAAAGGCTGGTCGGGTCTTCCTGGGGCTAGATAGCATTCCTAAGCCCTCCTGGCAGAGGAGGAGCTTGCAGATAGACGCGGTAATCGTCTATCTCAGCCACCAGTGAACCAACACCACCGCCCACCCGCAGCGCCCCCATCAGTCTGCTCCTGTCGCGGGGAAGGGACGCAGGAGAGAAGTCAGGGATGGGGCAGGACCAAACACACAGCCACGACCTCAGAATGCTCCCCTAGACAGTTGCCCCGAGTCAAAGCCAGAGCCTCAGTGCCCTGCCTCGTTCTGCGTGAATCCACGGGTGTTCGCGGATTCTCCAGCCCATAGGCCCAGGAGTCTGGAGGCGGGGTGAGGGCGGGGGCAAGGAGCCGGTGGGCAGGACAAGAAGCCCGGGGCGAGGGCGCAGGGGCGGGACTAGGAACCGGTGGGCGGAACCAGGGGCAGGTGGGCGGGGCCTCGGCTCATCCCGCGGCGCTCTTAACCCCGCACCACAGCCGCTGCCGCCGCCGGGATAGCTGGGGCCTGATCCCGCTGAGCCGCAGCCGCAGCCTGCGTCCCGCGTTCCCACCGCGCCGCCGCCCGCCAGTGCGTCCCCCGCGTGCCCACGTGCCCGCGTCCTCCCAACGCCGCCGCCGCCGCCGTTGCCGCCGCCCCCCGGCCGGAGGTGATGGTCGAAGCATGCGGCGGCTGCGGCGCGGGGCATTCGCGGCTCTGCTGCTCCTGCCGCTGCTGCTGCTGCCCTCGCCCGGTGAGTGACCCGCGCGACGCAGCCACGCTGCCCGCAGTGCTGGCGCCGCGGCCCGGGGGCGGGGGCGGGGGCCACTGCCACCCGCATCTCGCCGCCGCCCACGCGCGCCCAGCCAGTCCCAGCCGCTGTGTCTCCCGCAGGGCTCGGGGCGAGCGGTCCCGGCGCGGCGCTGCGCTGGGGGAGTCCGGGGAGCCCCGCTGCTGCTGAGGTCACCGAGCCCAGTCGGCTGGTTGGGGGAAGCTCTGGGGGCGAGGTGCGGAGGCAGCAGCTGGACACGCGCGTCCGCAGGGAGCCGCCCGGTGGTCAGGTGAGTGAGAACTAGGGTGGGGTGCGGGGACCTCATGCGCTGGGCGCCCCCTCCCCGGAACCAGCCTCGGTCTAGGGACGGGGCCGTCCAGGCCTCAGTTCCCCCTCCCCACAGGCTCTTCCCTTCCTGTACGAGGATGTGCTCAAGATGGGCCCAGGCAGGGAGGTGGGGGGCAGGGGACCCCCACGGCAGCCGCAGTGGACTTCCTGGAAAGGAACCACTTAGTGCTGGCCCTGCCTCAGTTTTCACCCCAACACCAACAGGCTGCTCCCCTTCTTCCTGTCTTGGCTGAATGGGGGCCCTTGGGAAATGGTCCCAAGTTCACCCTCACATCCCAGATCTGCCTGTCCCTTTGCCTACCCTACACCAGGCCCTCCTGCATCCCAGAAGGGGAGGAATGAAGGAGATTAATTGCAATTAATAATTAATTAATATCATGTGAATAATAATCACCCAGATGGAATCTTCATTCAGCTCTGCTCAGCTCACTAGGAGCTGGAAGCTGAAAGTTGGGCAGGCCCCTGGGGGCGGCCAGGGCTGGTGGCAGAGGCCTGGCAGGGATGCAGGAGTCGAGAGCCTGGGCAGGGGCACCGAAGTCGGGAAGTTCTGGCAGCGAGTGGTGGGAGTCGATCAGGCTGGGCCAGGGAGCAGAAGGGAGCCGGGGCTAACATTACGGACATCTGTCAGACTGGCATCTGGCCCTGCCTAATGCACTTGGTTAAAAGCCCTCCAGGAGGAGGGGGCCAGCCCAAGGAGGAGCCCAGGCAGGAAGGAGCATGCATAATAGATGGAGCATCTCTAGCCTCAGCTGGGCCGCCCAGGATGGCTGATGGTCTCTAGGCTGGGGGAGGGTTGGGGTAGAGGCCAGTAGTGGGATGGACAGTGTGGTGACCAACACCCTGTGAACTGTGTACCTCCAGGGCCACAGCAAGGACTCTATGGCTGTGCCTGACTGCTGGGTGTCCAGCTGTGGGAGGGCCGGTGCCCCCAGGGCAAGACAAGGTGGGGGGCAAGGTCCGTGTGTGGGACTCAGGGCCATCCTGCCCATACCGCCCCTGCAGCTGGGCCTGGGATGTTGTACCTGCTGGGGGTAAAGGAAAGGGCTGTGGGCTCCCAGGATCTGACACTGTGCTGAATCTGGAGGCTCTGTAGCCTCGGGCCCAGAGGTCAAGCACCTCGCCAGCTGGGCAGGACTCCAGCAGCAGAGCTGAAGCCATCTCCTCTGGCCACCACTGTTTGGCCTGCGGGCACCCAGGTTCAGGTCCCAGGGTGCTTCCTGGCCTGCAAGCCAGGGTTGAGGGTGCCCGGGACACAGCTGGTATAGTCCAGTAGGCTGGTGGCAGAGCCTGTGGCCCAGCTCAGCATGTGTGGGGTCAGCAGCAAGACCTCAGGTCCTTGGGGGAACCTAGGGGCACATGTAGGCTGGCTGGTGGGCAGGGAGCTCTGTTTTCTGATCCCTGAGCCCCAGATGATGACAACCGGCAATTCAGGAGCAGTTCAGGAGGATGGGAATGGGGAGGGAAGTGGGGAGAGGGAGACGCCAGCTTGCAGGGCAGAACCACCTGCCCTTCTGGGTGTGAATCCCAGAGTGCTGTGCCCATCCTGGCCGGGGAATGCAGGGCCGTGGGACCGCTGGAGAGCAGAGCCAAGACCCTCTGCTCTGGGCTGGTATGGAGAAGAGGGACATGGGCCCTTGGAGTCCTTCATCACTGCCCAGCCCGACTTCTGTGCCCTCAGGGACTGCAGCAGGGGTGAGTGGGGTGTCTGCCTGCAGAAGAGGCCTCCTAGGGTATGAATCTGGCCACGTCCTGAGGGTCACCTTTCCTGGCCTGCAGGAAGCTGCCATGTGGAGGCCAGGATCGGGCAGGATGTGGGGAATATGAGGAGGGCACAGCTGGGTGCAGCTCAGTCCCAACCTGGCAAGCAAGCCCAGGCCCGCGCTGGGCCCCACTGCATCTCAGCCCCATCCTGGGACTGGGTGGCTCACGTTGGGGTGGCCAGCAACAGAGGTCAAAAAGGTTGCTGCATGTGGGTCCTGGCCACCGTGACTGAGCTGGCTGGTGTCTGAGTGCGCACACCTTGGGGTTCAAGAGGACCCCGTAGGACCCATACCTTACCCCAAAGTGCCCTGCCCCACCCTGGCCCCCCAATGGTTGCCTAGAGGAGCCCAGCTGTCCAGCGTATGTCCTTAGAGGGCTTAGCGACCCTGTAAAGAGGTGACTCTGTCCTCAGAATGTGGGTCACATCCCGTCACAGAGAGCCATCCACCTGTTCTTGAGGTCTGGAACCCGGTGCCCCGCTGATAAATGGGGCACTGTGCATTGTGGTGTGAGGTCTCCTGGCCAGACCTCCACAGCATCCCCATCCCCTGAGAGAGACCTCAGTGAGACCCCAAGGTCCTCCCAGACCTGAGCACAGAGCTGCTCCTCTGGGCCTCTGTTGGTGGAAGAGGGCCAGGGGTCTCCCACTTGGTCCTTGCTGCTTGCTCATCTGCAGTTGGCACTTCTTCTGGACTGCCACCTTGCTGGCCCCTGACAACAGTGTGCTAACCAGGACTCTGCCCTCACACACCCCCAGTCTATCAGAGGGAAACTGAGGTTGCGGTTAGGCAGTTCTCTCAGTCCCTGAATACCTTTCACCCCACTGCATATGCAGTCCCTGGGAGGAGAAAGGCAGTGTGGCCTGGGGCATAGTGATGCTCACCTACAGTGCCAGCTATCCCAGAGGCTGAGACACGACAATCTCAAGTTCAAGGTCTGACGGGGCAGCCTGAGATTCTGTTTGAACTTTAAAAAGAGAGTTGGAGATGTAGCTCAGTAGGGAAGTGTCTCTAGGTTTGCTGCCAGAACTGGAAACAAAACAAAACAAAACTGTGCTTGAGGGCTCCAAGGGCCACAGAGTAAAGCCCCTGCGGTGGGTGGGTGTGAGGCTGGGCTGAGGAGCCTGAGGGTGGCTGAGACTGAGGGACAGGTGTCTGCAGGGTCACATCCCAACCACCTGTGATCCCCCCTCCCAGGTGGGGGGTCCATCTGCCTGTGTGGAGCCTGGCATTGTGGAGGGGAAAGCTGTCCCTCGAAACCTGCGGTGGACCTAGGGCTCATCCCGGCACCTGTGACACGTGGACCAGGCCACCCAGGCAGACTGTGATTACATGGCAGGCAGCAAGGGGCAGGGGCAGGGCAGGGTTATGACCCAGCTGTGCCCTCTGTGTGGGGCCAGGCTTGGGGAAACAAGGTCATGCAGGGCCCAGCTAGGCAAGCACCGGGGAGGGTGCTGGGCTGGCAGGAGCCCCATATGCTGGGCACTGCTGACCTGGCTCCTTCCTTGGGGACAGGGCTGTGTCCCCAGGTGGGGTCTGGTTCTTTCTTATTCCACTGCCATCTGATGGCCCTGAGCCCTCCTGGACAGCCTCATGTAAGGCCCAGCCCTCAGCAGCACACAGCCTCACAGGCTGTGGGCACAAGTGGCCCCTGTGACAGCCAGCACTTGGGAGGCTGAGGCATAAGGATCACAAGTGCCAGCTCAGCCTGAGCAATTCAATTACTTGGGAAGGACCTGCCTCAAATACTAAAATCTGGGGAACAGTTCGGCATGAAGCTCCCTGGCCAGCCTGGCCTACTGTGGGTGGGAGGTTGGATGTGCTGGCCTGCTTGCTTCACAAGGGAGGTGAGTTCTGTGAGTACCCGACCCTTCCAGGCCTTGCACAGTGTGGCTGCCACCAGAGCCTTCAGGCTCCTGAGCAGCTGGCATCTCACCTTACCTCTGGTGGTAAATCCAAGGCTTGGTGGTCACCGGGCTGCCCTGGGAGCCAGAGTTGGCTGGGAGAGGGGATGTTGGCTCAGGCCACACGCAGCCAAACCCCAGGGCATGGGAGGCCAGGATGAGTGGGGAGAGGACAGCTGACATCCCACCCTTGGCCCTGGGCTTTCTATTTCCAGTCTGATCACTGTGGTTGGCCAGGAGGATCGTGGCACCCTGGGTGCCCAGGATGGGTGAGGGGTGTCCTTGGGCTGAGCCCTGGCCCCCTGCTATTCCTGAGGTCCTGTGCCCTCTCCCCAGGGACCTTACAGCCATCTGCCCTGCACCACCTTTCGGAAAGGGCATCCTGGGACTGGATCCCCAGTAAAAGTGTGTGGCTGTGGCCAGAGTGGTCACCTCCTTGTGCTTCTGTCCCCTGCAGTCAGGCAGGAACAACAGGGGCATCTGTTGGGGTTCAGACCTGGTTGGTGAGAACCCTGCAGGTGGGTGACCGCTGCCAGGCAGAACGGTAGGGATTTGGGGGCGTCCCATTGGGGCACCTCTCCACACCAGCCAGACTAGGAACAGACACTTCGGGCCCTGGACCTGGCCAAAGGGCCTGGGGTGTGAAGTGGGCTCAGTTCTGGGGTTCCCCAGCCCCTTTCTGTGCATCCAGGCTGCCATAGGAATGACATCCAGTTTGGAGTAGGGCAGGAGACCCCACTTCCCACCTGGATCACGGCCATCTTGCTTAGGCCTTGTGCACATTGCCATGGCAACCAGGAGCCTCCAGCCCGGCTGCCTGGGCCCCTCTGAAAAATTTATCAGGAAAACTTCCGTGTTTAAAAATTAACTGCAGATTGAAATATTAAAGATGAGCTGCTTTGGGCTAGGTGGAGGGCTACACATTTAGGGTAGAGGAGCCAAGGCCTCTCTTCCTGCCTGGAGGGGACAGTCCCTTGCAGGCACGGGGCTTAGGGTCTGCCCATCCCTGAGCCAGAACCATCCTCGCTATCCATCCGGCCAGGACCCCTCTCTTTCCCATGATCCTCCAGGGCCCTGCCCTCGATCCCACTGGCAGTGAGCATGAGGCAGCCTGTCGAGGGCCTTGGCCCTGGGAGTCCAGCACTGTGCCTGGGCTGGGGGATGGGTGGGTGATGGGTCCCTTGGGCTGGAGGGTACAGGGTACATCTGGGGCGGCCTCCAGCCCTAGGGACCTGACCCCTCTCTGCTCTCGTCCCCACCAGCCGGCCCACCTGGCCCAGGTGAGCTTTGTTATCCCTGCATTCAACTCCAACTTCACCCTGGATCTGGAGCTGAACCAGTGAGTGTGGCCTGGTGGACTGGGCAGGGCAGGGGGCCAGGCCGGGTCTGGCTGCAGGGTGACAGCAGCCATGCTCTCTGTTTCAGTCACCTGCTGTCCTCACAGTATGTGGAGCGACACTTCAGCCCGGAGGGGGCAGCACAACACAGTACAGTGAGTCCTGGGCTCCCCAGCCTTCCTGCCCAAGGCTGCGTTGTGGACAGGGCCCTGAGCCCTGGAGGCCAGGGGACACAAAGGCCATGAGGACAGGCCCCAGGGTACCAGGCCAGCAGTCGCAGGGACCAGCCTGGGGTTCCCACTGCCCATGCAGGGTCCCTGCCCCGAGGGCCCAGACCTGGCTGACATGAATGAGCTGCTATAAATAGCCTGGCCCAGCCCACACCCAGTCACTAGAGCAGGAGTAATTTGGGGAGCCAGTTATGGCTGGTGGCTGGACACCCCCCATCCCCGCTGCAACCTGAGCACAGCCAGGAGGAGCCGGCCACCAGGGACCATGAGTCAGGTTTGGGGCATGAGGCTGTGTGGTAGGGTCCTTGGCTATCACCTGATGAGACTCTGAGGATCAGACAGACACCAGCCAGCCGTGCCTCCATACGGCAGGAGCCCAACCTGTGTCGGCGGCTGCCACCTCCCTCCCATCATGGGCAACTCAGCACTGTCGGGGCTACACCGGTACACAGGGTGGTCTCTGGGGGCTGCCTGGGCACCTGCCTCACCAGTCCTGCTCCCCAGGGCGCTGGAGACCACTGCTACTACCAGGGCAAGCTCCGGGGCAACCCCCATTCCTTCGCCGCTCTGTCCACCTGCCAGGGGCTGCAGTGAGTAGGGCTAGGGGAGGGCCCTACCTGCCCGGGGAGGGGAGGACAGCCATGTGAGCCCCCTCTCTCTGCAGTGGGGTCTTTTCTGACGGGAACTCGACCTTCATTGTGGAGCCCCAGGTGCTGGCTGGGCCTAAGGCGCCCCCCCAGGTACCCCATGCCCCAGCCTCTCCCTCTGACCTCCTGCGCCGCCTCCGCAGTAACCTCAGCCTCCCTGCCCTCCTCAGTGACCCCAGCTCTGTTTCCCTGCCTGTCCCTCGGCTCCAATGTCCCTGCTGCCCCCTACACGACCTCCTATGGGTTCCAGTGTCCTTTGCCCCAGCTCTCAGGGCAACCCTGGGTCTTGACCCCAGAAATCTGAGGATCTGGGAGATCAGATCCGACATGGAGCCCTGGCCAGTTCTGGGTCACCCCAGAGTGGGGTGTGGGAATGCTGGGGGCAGACTTGCCCACCCCCCAAAACACTAACTCCATCCTTGCAGGGACCCCTCCCCCACCTTGTTTATCGGACTCCTCTCCTCCCAGTCCCCCTTGGATGCAGAGAGCCAGGTAAGGGCTGGAAGTGGGGCTGGGCAGCCCCTGGTGGCACCCTCCTCACCTGTGTGTCTCCACAGGCTGCCTGTTTGCTTCCCGCTCTGTCCCTCCAAGCCGGCCGAGGCTGAGAAGGAAAAGGCAGGTACGGGGCCCACTAAGAGCCCAAGCTACAGAGACCCTAGCCATCTCTGGGGAGAACTGCAGTGTCTGCGGCTACCAGTCTGGGAGGGAATGGACTCCACAAGGGCTTCACTGCTCCTGGCTGGAGTCCACTGTGGCATCAGCATGGAGGAGCTGATTCCCAGGGTCCACCCACCCCCAGGTCCGGAGGGGCCACCCCACTGTCCACAGCGAGACCAAGTATGTGGAGCTCATTGTGATCAACGACCACCAGCTGGTAGGTGCCTGCCTGGGGGCGGCCCAGGGGGTCCTGCAAGGAGCTCACCCCTTTTTCTCCCCTAGTTTGAGCAGATGCGGCAGTCAGTGGTTCTCACCAGTAACTTTGCCAAGTCCGTGGTGAACCTGGCAGATGTGGTGAGCCCCCAGCCCACTGGTATCCCGACTCTTACCACACACACGGACGGGGCGGGGGAGTTCTGGCAGCCTTGGACCCCCATTTCCTGAAGGACATCACTCCACCACCATGGCCGGCCCCTCTCCCCTCTCTGGGTGCAGATATACAAGGAGCAGCTCAACACCCGCATTGTGCTGGTTGCCATGGAAACCTGGGCTGATGGGGACAAGATCCAGGTGCAGGATGACCTTCTGGAGACCCTGGCCCGGCTCATGGTCTACCGACGGGAGGGTCTGCCTGAGCCCAGTGACGCTACCCACCTCTTCTCGTAAGTACTGCCCCATGTACCCTGCCACTTGCTGCCCACTGGGCCTCTAGGCCCTACCCAGTTACATGTGTCCAGCTGGGCCTCCCTACATGCTGGCTGGGAAGCATGGGTTATATGTCAAAGCTTTGGTGGTCACCTCTCCCCTTTAGGCTGCCCTACCTTCCTTCCTCAGAGCTGGGCAACTTGCACCTAGGGTTGAGTTCAGAGGGGCAGGGAGGTCCTAGAGCTGACCCTTGGGGTAGGGCTGCCCTCCCAGGAAGGGCTCCAATCTGTAGGCCTGACATCTACTCCCACAGGGGTCGAACCTTCCAGAGCTCCAGCAGTGGGGCAGCCTATGTAGGGGGCATCTGCTCGCTGTCCCGGGGAGGTGGCGTGAACGAGGTGAGCAGGGGGCCTGGGGGCTGGGCCAGGGCCATGGTGTGCAGACACCTGGCCTCCCTCTCCCATGCAGTATGGCAACATGGGGGCCATGGCAGTGACATTGGCGCAGACCCTGGGGCAGAACCTGGGCATGATGTGGAACCAGCATCGGAGTGCAGCAGGTGACTGCAGGTGTCCTGATGTCTGGCTGGGCTGCATCATGGAGGACACTGGGTGAGTGTGGAGAGTGGGCCTCAGTGAGGGGCTTCGGGCTGCAGTGGCCACATCGCAGCCCCTTGTGGCCTCCGTGGGCGGGGCACGTGGGTACCCAGCCTCAAGGCTCCTCACCCGCCCAGGTTCTACCTGCCCCGCAAGTTTTCCCGCTGCAGCATTGATGAATATACACAGTTCCTGCAGGAGGGCGGCGGGAGCTGCCTCTTCAACAAGCCGCTCAAGGTACCTCGACCCCAGCCCTGACCCCGACCCTAACCTCTGCCCTGACCTGCCGTTTACTGTGACCCTGACCCGCCTGCCTGCGCACCCCACATCCCAGCTTCTGGACCCGCCCGAGTGCGGGAATGGCTTCGTGGAGGCGGGAGAGGAGTGCGACTGCGGCTCAGTGCAGGTGAGGGGTGAGGGGCGCGGGGCGCGGGGCGGGACGCGATCCCGAGTGTGGCCAAATAGAGGGTCCGGGGAAGGGCGGGCCGCCTGCCTCCTTGCCCCCTTCTCGTGACCCCCAGGAGTGCAGCCGAGCCGGCGGCAGCTGCTGCAAGAAGTGCACGCTGACGCACGACGCCATGTGCAGCGACGGGCTTTGCTGTCGCCGCTGCAAGGTGCGCGGGGCGGGGAGGGGCGGGGCTCGGCCCGGGCCAAGAGTGCGCCAGTCAGGGTGGGGGCGGGGCCCGGAGTGACAGCGCGCCAATGAGCGCGGGAGCGGGGCCTCCGCGGAGCCTGGGCGAGGCTCCACGCTGATCCCGCCCTCTTCGCAGTATGAGCCGCGGGGCGTTTCCTGCCGCGAGGCCGTGAACGAATGCGACATCGCGGAGACTTGCACCGGGGACTCGAGCCAGGTCCGGGGTGCAGGCAGCCTCAGTTTCCCCACCGGGAAGGGGCTCCTTGTGCTCCCTGCCGCCGCCCTGGGTCTCGTGTAGTCCTCGGGTGCAGGAGGCGGGGTGCTGGGACTCCGGGCGCCGGGCGCAGGTCTCAGGCCGCTCTCTTCGCAGTGTCCCCCCAATCTGCACAAGCTGGACGGCTACGCCTGCGACCAAGAGCAGGTAGGCCCCCCGGCCCCGCCCGGCCCCGCCCGTGCTACTCTCGGTCGAGCTCACCCCGCCCCGCCCCGCCCCGCCCTAGGGTCGCTGCTACGGAGGCCGCTGTAGAACCCGGGACCGGCAGTGCCAGGCCCTGTGGGGTCGCGGTGAGTGGGGCTGTGGTCAAAGGGGCAGCTCCGCCTACACGCCGAGATGCGGCCCTGAGGCCGGGTTTCCGCTCTCCCCGCAGCGGCCGCAGACCGCTTCTGCTACGAGAAGCTGAACGTGGAGGGCACGGAGCGCGGGAACTGCGGGCGCAAGGGCTCTAGCTGGGTGCAGTGCAACAAGCAGTGAGTGCGGTGGTGTGGGGCGGCGCGGGGCCGCCGAGGCCCGGCGTCACTGTCTCCCTGCCCCCGCAGGGACGTGCTATGCGGTTTCCTGCTCTGCATCAACGTCTCCGGGGCTCCTCGGCTGGGCGAACTGGGGGGAGACATCAGCAGCGTCACCTTCTACCACCAGGGCAAGGAGCTGGACTGCAGGTGCGGCAGGGGCCCCGGCAGGGCAAGGAGGGGCCATGAGGGCGCGAGGACAAGGCCCAGCTGCTGTTCTTTCCCAGGGGCGGCCACGTGCAGCTGGCCGACGGCTCTGACTTGAGCTACGTGGAGGACGGTACGGCCTGCGGGCCCAACATGCTGTGCTTGGGCCACCGCTGCCTGCCAGCCTCAGCTTTCAACTTCAGCACCTGCCCAGGCAGCGGGGAGCGCCGGGTCTGCTCACACCATGGGGTGAGTGTTGGGGCTGGGGCAGTAGGGAGGCTGCAGGAGGGGACAGGAGCCGTGTTTCCAGCTGGAAGCTGCAGAGGGCCATAGCAGAGCCCGAAGGATCCTGGGGCCGCGTGCTTCCAACTTGGGAGGCTGATTCAGGGAGGTTGCTGTGACTCCCGAGGCCTACCTGGGATTCCATAACGAGGTCCTGTCTTTAAAACACCAACCCGAGAGAGATGCCATGGCCCTGCTCACTGCTGGTCCCATCCCAGGTCTGCAGCAACGAGGGCAAGTGCATCTGCCAGCCTGATTGGACAGGCAAGGACTGCAGCGTTCACAACCCACTGCCCACATCCCCACCCACCGGGGAGACAGAGCGGTACAAAGGTGAGCCAGGTGCTGGTTGGCGCTGTGCCTGGACCCCTGGCCATCCCTGCCACCCACAGAGCTGTCTCTTCCCCAGGTCCCAGTGGCACCAACATCATCATCGGCTCCATTGCTGGGGCTGTCTTGGTCGCAGCCATCGTCTTGGGCGGCACAGGCTGGGGATTCAAGTAAGAGACACACCAGACACCCAGCCTAGGGGCTATGGGTTTTGGGGCGCCAAAAGGTCAGTTGATGTCAGGCTGCCCTCATGCTAGTGCTTAAGACCATGAATCTCATGCACTGAAACCCGGTGATCTCACATTCATACTCCATTCTCAGCCCCATCCTGGGGGTCCCAGTCCAGAGCCGCCCTGTCACCTGGCTCCCAGGATGAGCTGTTTGAGCCCACAGCGTGCAGAGCGGGACGCCAAGGGTGGCATAGGGATCCCTCTGTCCGTGGCATGCGGCCCCAGGATCCTTCGGGCTCTGCTATGGCCCTCTGCAGCGGGACAGATGACCCTTCCTTTGCTCTCCCTGCAGAAACATCCGCCGAGGAAGGTACGACCCGACCCAGCAGGGGGCAGTGTGACACCGGCCACGCCACCTCCCGCCCTTCTCGTCTGTGTCATCTCATCTCATCGCATCTTATCTCATGTCTCCGTCCCTGGCATCTGCTGCCCGAGGAGAGCCTTCTGCCGGCCCACTGCCGCCGGCTCCCCCGTGGCCCATCCCCCATTCATCTGTTACCGCCACCCCCCCATTACCACACCCCACCCCCCGTCGCGCACTCTTACCTGCGGGCCTGGGCCCTGCCCGGCTCCTTCTTGATGCCCGGTCTCCTTCCAGGTCGGGAGGGGCCTAAGCGCCTCCTTCCCCGCTGCCGGCCGCGGGGCGGCGCCCTGCACGCGTCTGCCGTCCCTGCGCACGCTGCTCGGCTGCTGCGCGCTGCCTGCCTCGGCGGCCTCGCGCAGGCCTGTGTGAATGTAGCTTTGCCCTGCGCGGTGTGGCCTTGTCCCTGGGAACCCGAGCCGCCTCCTTCTGATCTGATGAATGTAACTCGGGGGCGGGCCGGGCCGGGAGGGCGCCGCCGCACCGAGGGCCTGGCGCTGCCGCCTGCACTGGGCTCCACCTGCCCGGAGGAGTCAAACCAAAGCTGCCTTTGGTCCCAGGTGTAGGGCTGAGCCCCAGGCCGTCGTCAGCTTTGATGACCCCAGCCCCGCCTGGACTCGGGCTTGGGTCTGCAGATAAAATGGTGCCCCCTGTCGAGGAAGGGTGATTCCAGGCTGACCCGAGGGCGGTGCCCGGGAAGGACCCTCCAGTCAGTGAGGTGAGCCCAGGACGGGCCTCACAGACAACCCCAGCCCTCTTCCACTTGATGCCCCTTTCCACGTCCCCCAAGTCCCTGCCGCCCCGCCTGGAGAGAAGCCGCCGGTTGGTTTCCTGTTCCCGGGTCAGCTTGGGGTTTCAGGGGTCTCTGCGGAGGCAGTGCAGAGAAGGATGCACTGGAGAGTGTGGGCACCCATGGGGCCCACACTGCCCTCAAGAAGAACTGCGTGGGGATCAGGTGGGGGCAGGAAGGATGCAGACTTCCTGTGTTCCTTACCTTGGCTCCCAGCCGCAGTGTCCTGCCACCTGCCAGCACCCGGGAGGAGGGGTCATAGTGCTACCCAGGCCCTGCACAGATGTCACTGGGGCAGGGATTAAAGGTCATATTCAGGCTCTGCGGAGCCCATACCACCTGTGTCCCCTGTGAGTGGCACGTGTGCTAGGATCCCCATTCTGCCTGGACTCCAGAGGACAGCTGACAGCTGGGATGCAGAGGGGTACCAGGACTGCATGGAGGCTGTTGCAAGAGAGCCTGACGATTCTGGGAGGAAACCATGCTGGGTGGAGTCCCGGGCCTCCCTTCCTGTCTCAGCAGAACTTGGAGGCCCATATGTCACCCCCCAAGTTCAGGAAGCAGCAGCCCAGGTCCCACCTGTGTGGAGACAGCCTGGGCTATTACTCCTGTTCCCTCTGAACCCGGGTGGGGCATGGCCAGGCCTGGAGCTGTCCCATCAGATGCCCAGTAAGCTCAGTTCTGTGACTGTTCCCACTTTTCCCAAAGGCTGGCTTGGGAGCCTGGGAGGGGGCAGGACTTGGGTTCGAAGAAAAGAGAGAAAGGTAGGGTGTGGAAGGAGGAGTGGGAGGATAGGAGGGTAGCAAGAAGCAGCAGCACCTAGCATCCCAGCACTGTGGGAGGCTGAGGCAGGAGAATATCCAGTGTAAGTTCAGGCTGAGCAACTTAGCAAGAACTTGTCCCAAGGGCCAGGGGTGTTGCTCTGCATAGTCTCTGTTTGTATCCCAGATCCTGGAGTCTGCATGGCATCACCTGTCCATGTGTGGCTGGGTCAGGCCCAGCTCAGTCCTGCCAGCTCCGGGGGCTGTGTCTCTGCCATCTGCCCCTCTGTCTACACACTATTTCCTTTCTCAGCTCCCAGCCTGGGCTGTAGCTCCATGTGTCACAGCAGAGTCCTGGAGGGTGGCACTGGGGCCCTCAGGAGGCACCAGGCTGGGGCTCAGCAGGAATGGCAGCTGGGGAGCATGAGAGGACCTGGGTGCCGGGTGCCCCAGGCCTGTTCTGCTGGATGTGGGGTGTGGCTTCCCCAGGACTCAGCCCCAGAGCACAGTTCCCAGGGTGTGTGGGGGGCTGTGGGGATCTCAATGTCCTCTGGGAGTGGAAGGCAGCAGGACACAGCCTGGGGACCGGTGGAGCAGCACCACTCCCTCTGGGGTGGCTAGGCTGGGCACAAAACGTGGGAAGGGCAGTTCTGAACCATGCACCTCAGCACTGTCCTTGCCAGGACAGAGCAGGTTCCCCAACAGCGCAGCTGCTGCTTTGCTGCCTGCTTTTCATGGGACCCCTAGGCTAGGTGTGGGCTACAGCTGCCCTGTTCTCTGTGGCCTCTTGGTGACCATCACCCAGCTGACAAATGGGGTTTCCAGAGCCTGGGCACCATCCTGAGGATTGAGGCTGTGGCAACAGCCAGCATTGGCCTAGGGACACAGCCCGGGCAGCTCTGAGTAGGCCATGGGATGAGGATGGGGATCCACATCTGAGCTCCTGCTGGCCGTGCCTGCCTCACTGCCTTGGCAGCTCTGGGGCCACGTGGGGTAAAAATACCTGTGCTATGGGGCTGGAGATTTAACTCAGTGGCATAAGTGCCTGCCTTGCAAGCAGGCAGTCGTGAGTTCGATCCCTGGTACCGATAAAAAGGAAAAAGACAAACAAAAAACCTGTGCTATCTGTGGCCTCCCCAGCCGCCTGTACTCACTGCCACCACTGTCCCTGCCTCTGAGCAGGAGTTGGCACCAAGAGCCAGGCGACAACTTGACTGACCCCGGCTGTCCTGGGGGACAGGAGGCGCCTTCCCTCCCCACTGCTGTCCCCCTTGTCCATGCTGCATCTTCTACCAGCCCCATCTTGAACTTCCACTTGTGTTTGGGGAACTCGTTTTGTATTTTGGGGGAGTGCTGGGGGCTAAATGTAGCTCTACGAAGCAGGCAAGCTCTGACTGCTGAACCTGCAAACAGCAGAGCCTGCAGGGAACCCTGCCCAGCACCCAGAAAGCTGCAGGGCACAAGGAACAGCTGCAGTGATCAGAGCAGCTGGGAAGGGACCAGACCAAATCGCAGTTTGTTCCAACAGTGCCTGTACTGTGGATGCCTTGGAGGCACTGAGTGCACCTGCTGCCCTGTCCTGGACCTCTGTTGCTGAGGCCTCCGTGTCTGCTCTAAAAGCAAAGGGTTCAGAGTTGGGAAGGGCAGGAAGCTGAAGCAGGAGGACGGCAAACCCCAGCCCAGTCTGTGTAACTTAAGAGACCCTGTCTTGAAAAATCAAGGGCTGGGTTCAAACTCAGGGGAAAGGAAATTCCTCAAGCGCTCGGGATACAGCCAAGCCAGCTGTTCTGCTGTCTCATCCATTTGGCCCTCAGCAGCTTGGCAAAGCTACACAGGTCTTCTGCCATTGCCCGCCCTGGCCTTGCTCTGGGACACCTGTCACTGGGCCAAGACTGCTGGTCACCCCAAGCCTGGTCAACAGGGTGGGTCTCTTGGCAGAAAAAGCCTCACAGGCAGTTTTGCACTACACTGCTGCACTTTTGGAACCCAACACCTGCCCCATGCAGAAAGGACAGGGACTCAGATGGGAGACAGGGTGAGAGGACAGGATGGATAGCCACAGGCAACAGGCACAGCCCTGTGCAGATCAGGGCCTCACACTTCGGGGATCAGTCACTTTTAAGACACATTTTATGCATCTGCTGTGTGAGCAGGATGCACCCAGGCCTCTGCACACAGGAGGCCAGTGTTTTCCCCTAAGCCGCACCCAGCCCCTTTAATTTCTATTTTAAGACCTGGATCATGGGGCTGGAGACTTAGCTTAGCAGCAAGGCGTCTGCCTGGCAAGCACACGGTCCTGAGCTTGATTCTCAGTACCACCACCCCCCGCCAAAAAAAAAAAAAAAAAAACAGGTTCATGAAGTTGCCCAGGCTGGCCCCAAACTTGCAGTCCTCTTAACCTTACCCTCCTGGGTAGCTAGGAGAACAGGCGTGCACCCCCGCGCACAAGCTGGATTGCTTTTTCATATGAACAAAGACAACCTGAACGCCTCAGACCATTTTCTCTCCTTCCTACTTCTCGTTTAGAGAAGATGAAGTGCACCTATGCTTTTCAGGCAGGTGCCACAACCCATGTCGCTCCTGAGGTTCCTGGGGTGAAGGATCCCAAGAGGATGAGTAAACAGAGACAAAGATGGGGTCAGGTGGAGGCCCCTCTCCTGATGGGAGAAGGAACTGCTCACTCACTTCAGCTTGTATGTTCAGAAAGGTGATGGCAACTTCAACCTCGCTGCCCAGCAACCTATTGCCTGGACTGTAGGGGCCCCCTGCTTCTCCCCACTGAAGCAGCTTCATGTAGCCGCTGCCCTGGGGACTCTACTCTTGGACAGCCACACCCCCTGCCACAGCCCTGCACGTGTGGTTAATTCCCAGCTTCAACCTCTCCCAACAGGAAGGGCTCATAACACTAAATATGTTCTCTTTGGGGAGCCTGGCAATTATGGAAACCTTTTATTTTCTGACCTTTTGAATTTAGTTTTTTCTTTGTCTTCAGTGAGTTTTCTGATTATATATTCAGCCAGTGTAAAAATCTTTTAGGGGGCCGAATTTTGTAATTTTTAAAAAGTTGTGGTTTATAACAAAAACATCAAGACAGAACTAAGCCAAGTGTGGTGGAATACACTGTAGGAGGTTGAGGCAGGAGGATCACAACTGTGAGCCCAGCCTGGACAACTTAAATGACTCAATGAAACCCTACCTCGAAATAAAATGAATTGGGAGGCAGGAGGATCGTTGCAACGTTGAGACCAGCCTGGGCTACAAAGTGAGCTCAAGGCCAGCCTGAACTGCATAGCGAGACCCTGTCTCACAAAATAGGGGTGGGGGTTGGGGGTGTAGTTCAGTGTGAAGGCCCTGGGCTCACTCTCCAGAAAGGCAAATATTTAAAAATATTCACCAACCAAAACCTTGCCATTGAGTGAGTCATTTCCCCAGCCTGGACCCTGACAGCCCCATCCAGTTCTGCCAGTGTCTGCTTGTCCCTTGTCCCTAGGCACCTGGCTGGCTGCTGCAGGAGTGGGCTCGGCTTCTTTGGGATCACACCTGTGTGTGGCTGGGCTGCCTTCATCCCCGCCCTCCCACAGGCTGCTTCTTGGGCTGTGGCCTTTTGCTATACTGCTGCACAGGTATGCAGAGGCTGGAGGACCCCATGGCCCATCTGCTGGGCTCCTGGCTGCCAGGCATGGGCTAAAACATGGTTACATCCCCTGCCTGCCTCCCTGCTCCTCACTTATTAAGACAGAGCCACTAAGTGGCCAGGGCTGGGCCTGATGTGGTTCTCCTGCCTCAGCCTCCCCAAGTGCTATGCTGACAGGTACCTCTGCCCACCCAGGTGCTTATAGCTTTATGACTAACCCCTTCCCACATTGTTACCTGGCTTCAGAATGCATGTTAAGTTAAAATTTGTAAATTTATTGTATACACAATCTGCAAATTACTTGCCAAAGAAAAACACTGGATAGTAATGTGATTTTCAGATAAACAAGAGATGCAGGGGTCAAGGGCTGCAACCACTGAGCAGCCCTGCACAGTATGAGGGTCTGGGCCGGCAGGAGCCACTGGTGCTTTCCGGCCTGGACACTGCCGCCCCTCACCCAGGTCAGCACTGAGGGGGGCAGGGCCTGAGGCCCCCTTCCAACTGCTTCCCGTGACTGAGGAGCCAGTGGCTTTATAGGGTCACACCCTGCCCTGGCCTTCCCCGTCAGACCCCTGAAGCAGATGGCAAAACCAAAACCGGCTCCAATTCATAGTCCCTTTGCCAATGTTTCCAAGGCTCTTGTTTCCAAACAGGACCTTGCTATGTGGTTCAGGTGGCCTCTGACTCTGGATTATCCTCCTGCCTCAACTTGATTACAGGTGTGTACCACACCTGTGCTTACCTTTCTAGGCCTTGTCACCAGAGGCCAGGGCTGTCATTATGCTTTAGAACCTGGCAGGGAACCTGGGCACCTGCCCCCACTGCAGGCCCCAGCTTCACTGCACCTGGCCCAGCTCCCTGTGCATGGCTGCAGTGCCCCCCACAACACATCTAAAAATAACCCGCGCAGAACCACCAGCTCTGTCGCCTTCCCCACAGCCGTGGTCATCCAGGTCACTGGCTCTGAGCCAAATTGTTAGGAATGCTGGGTGTAGGACCAGCGGGAAGCGCTGTGTGCGCAGGGCTCCTCCAGACTCCAGGCACGTGGTCAAGGGCAGGCCAAGGACAGGCTGCCTTGTCCTCAGGGCAGGCGGCAGGGAGCAGAGGAAGCCAAGTGGCCCGGAGAGCCTGTTACCCTGCTGTTCTGTGCTCAGCCACCCATGGCACTCATCACCCCAGGGTGCCTGTCACCATTAGCTGGGGACAGTGGCTCTCAGCTGGATGTCTGTGCAGTCCCAGCCAGGCTCAAGCCTCCCACCTTGGGCGGTACCAGGCTGCCTGCTAGTGGCGAACTCAGGCTCAGCTTCCTCCTCTGCTCCTGACCCACGTTTGCAGTTACTTTCCAGCACTAGTGGCTCTGGAACCTAAGGTGCAGAATGACTGCCTGGAACCTTAGGGTGCTGCAGCTTCTCAGTTTCCTTTGGGAACATCCAGAGTTGCAGTGCCCTGTGCCAGACAGCAGCTCAGGGTGAGGCATGTTTGCCCTCCAGCACTGCACAAACTGAAGCAAGAATAGAAAAACCACACAACCGCAGGACCCGGCAGCCCTCAAGAGCCTGCGCCTCAGCTGGGCACTGCAGACACTGGTCCCAAGTTCCCAGCCGTGACCACCCCAGGGGACACTTATCCCCGATGCAAGTGCCCCTCCTGTTCTCAGCTCTACCCTGGACAAGGCCCAGGCTCCACTGTCCTGTATCAGCTTCCCTGACAGCATGGCTTGAGCTCCAAGGCAGGGCACTGATTGGGTCTGGCCATCGCCATAGCCTCTTCAGGGCCAGCCCTTGTGCAGTGCCACCAACCGGCCGAGCAATCCGCACTCAGCACCCACATCAGTGCTCCAACAGCACACTGGCTCATTACCAAACAGCTACTGCCAATCTGGCCTCCTGCAGGTGACATCCTCCTCTGGGGTCACTAGCAGCAGGGCTTGAGGGAGGCCCTGATCGTCCTCCCCTCCGCCCCAGGAGAGGCTCATGCGGGGTTTCTGAGAAAGGACACACAGAGCCAGAGCGGGGGTTCTCCACTGTATTTGGGATGCGTGTTCCCCAAGGTGGGCCAGGCTACCTGGGTCTTCACACAACTTTCACAGACTAGGAAGGGAAGTGGCTGGGGCCAGCCCGATCGGGCTGAGGGTAGAGCCTTGTCAGAGGACAGCAGCTGGGGTTTGGGAGCTCACAGCCCCCTGGACCAGGAGCCCAGCTGGAAAGGTTCCATCTCCATCAATTTCACAGCGGAATGGGCCTCTTACTCGGCTCCCGAATGTGGCTCCCTGCTACGTTTTCTTCTTTTGAAGTTTTTCTGAGACATGGTTTCATTACGTAGCCCAGGCTGGCTTCAAACTCAGTGATCCTCCTGCCGCAGCCTCCTGAGGTTGGGATGACGTGTGCAGCACCATACATGGCTCTGCATTGCTCCTCTAACACAGAAGTGTGGGAGTCAGTGGGAACTGAGTGAGAGACAGGTGGGCTGGGATCTTGTTCCTAACTGCACTGCACAGTGCAGGGGCCTGGGTCTTCCAGGGGGTTGGATTCTACACGGGAGCATCGGTCAGGTGTGGCCTTCACAGAGGGAATGGCCTTGGTGCTAAAGGCAGTGACTACGGCAGCCTTAGGAAAACATTTCTGGCCTTTGCCAAACTTGGCTGGACAAAAGTTCAGCACCGTCGTCTTCCATGTGTCAGAGTGGCTGGGATCTCACCCGCTGTGGAGCCTGGTGACGGGTCGAGTGGACACAGACAAGCTTTTGTTTATGGTACTAGTGACTGAATCCAGGGGGGCTGAGCTACAGCCCCGCTCCTCTTTTACTTTGATACAGGTTCTGGCCGAGTTGCCCAGGCTGGCCTGAACTTACAATGCTCCAGCCTGGCCATGCAGGGAAGCTGGTGCTGGAGACGCCTCTGTTTACAGGCCTGAAGAGAGGTGAAGAGAAGGCGGCAGGGGCACAAAGTCAGTCAGAATTAAAGCTTCACAGAGAATGGAGGCCTCACAGGGTGTGATGAGGGGGCCATGGGCTCCAGGTCCCAGCTCGGTTCTCGAAAACTGGACTGGAGCCGGCCCGTGGCGCAGTGTACAATGAGCCACTCCCTGCGCAGCCTGGCCGGAACTTCCTTGCATTTCCACTGGGCCCTCCCACCTCTGCGCAGGCTTCCCAGGCCTCCCCAGGTCCTGGGTGGGCAGCAGTGCGGGAAGAGTGGTTTTTGTGGGCCATGGGGTACGGCCTCCTTGGAGCAGGCATCTCCATGTGAACCACCGCAACTGGAGGACATGGTACATGCCGACTCCCACCACTTATGCATGTAAAGGTGTGATCAAAATATACCATAAATATTTAAATCTCTACCATTACAGGGAAAGACACACGCTTCCCATACCATCCTGACCTTACCCATTCTGGTCTCTCCCAGTCTGTCCCTGGCAGGGGCAGCTGAGAAACCAGCCCTTGGCACCAACTCCCTGGCTCCTCCCCGAGTGAAAATGAGCAGAGGGAAGTGGTTTGGATCAACCAAGAAGGTGGGCAGCCAGGACACTGGGGAGAGCGCCCTGACAGCCTAGGCCAAGGACTTCTGGGGAGAAGACTGTGGGCCCTTCACTGTCATAAATTTAAACACAAAACAGAGTCGTTCCCATTTTTCGATCGCACCTTGCCTATCCCTGTCTGGCATCCTGTCTCACCTGAGTTCAAGGTCCAAAGATGCCCATGGGACCTGCAGTGGCGGAGGTGTAGACCTGCGATTCCAGGCCAGCACTTTGGTGAGATCTCGGCTCTAAATGACCCAGGCCACGGCTATCCTCAGTGGTACGAACTGTCTGGGTTCATTCTCTAATACTGCAAAACAAAAATAAAAGCCCCCAAGAACTTTTCCACACTAAAGGTTAAAAACACAAAAAACAAAAAAAATGTACGAATGACTAAAAGATTAAAAAAAATTTTTTCGTAAGCAACAAATGCAGACTGATAGAAACCATGGAAATCTTGAAGGGTATATTCTGATATCTTACATAACGGAGAACCAGTGCTTCATAAAGGCGACAGACAACAGTACTTCCAGAACTGTAAGGTCAGAGTTGGCCTGCAGCAACTTGGTCACAAACCCCAGGGAGCAGAGGCCCTGGGTGGCCACAGGGCTGGGAGGATGCCTGGCTGAGTGAGACCATAGCCACAGCCCCTGGAGGGTCACAGCATGAGAGAGGGCCTGGGTCTGCCCCACGGGCTCTAGGCAGTCACGCATTTCTCTCGTGAGAGTGTTGCCAGGGTCCACTGCAGGGCAGCTCTCTATGAATAAGGCAAAGTGGGGTGCACCCCCTTGGCAGCCGGGCTCCGAAACAAGCAAGGGACCCCTCTGAGGCCTCTGGAAGGATGACGATAGCTCTGGTTGCAGGGACGTGCAGCCTGTATCCTCAGATGGCAAGGCCTTGCTTCCCCCGATGCAGGCCAGAGTCTGTAGGAGGCACTTGAGGCGGTGAGCGCGGCTGCAACCCAGCGCCACTGCACAGCCTAACAGAGTGGGACACAGCCTCTTGGGCATTTCCTGGTAAGGATTTCTTTTTTAATATAAAAAAGTAACTACAGTAGTTCAAGGGGCAAATACAAAAAAGTTTTTATGTTTTAAAAAAAGTGCCATAATACTGTACATACAAAACTGCTCCACAAGAATGATTGAAACCTTTCCCCTCAGGACGAAGACCTGTGTCCCTGCGGCAGGCGGGTGGCAGTGGCCCAGGAACACGTGTGCCTCCTCTTCTATGGGCCTGCCCCGCAGACCAAGCCTGCTGCCACCCACCACCAGCCCGCTGCTGGGGTGCTGTGGTGCCGAGCTGCTGCTGAGCAGCCAGGCTGGAGAGGCCCTAGGTCAGATCCAGACTGACGTCTTCCCATCCCCCGACTTGCTGCTGGCACTGCTCTTGTTGGAGCCAGTCCTGGCCTTCTTCTCCCTGGCAGCTGGTAGGTGGGTCTGGTGGTGGAAGGCCTGGATGGCGAGGTCCAAGCGCTCCTGCGCCAGCCTGATCTCACGCTGCAGTGTCTCCAGCTCGGCCGGGAGTGGCTCTTCGCGGCTGCCGTACTGCTGCTCCTGGGCTGTGTTGGCTTTGTTCTGCCGGTAGGCGATCTTTGCATTGGACAGCTCTGTGTACTGGACGTGATCCGGCTTGACAGCGATGTTGTAGCCAGGGGGAGCGGAGGGTGTATTCCAAGTGAAAGGGTAGCTGTATGCACCCGGCTCCTCAAGCTCCCGCTGCTTACTGTGCAGGGAGTCCCGGATGGTCCCGAACCCTAGGTGCAGCATCTCCCAGATGTTGAGCAGCAGGCAGAGGCCCGTGACACCGTACATTATCAGGAGGAAGATGGTCTTCTCAGTGGGCCTGGAAATGAAGCAGTCAATCTTGTGGGGGCACGGCAGCCGACTGCACACATAGAAGGGGTGCACCTGGAAGCCGTACAGGAAGTACTGCCCTATCAGGAAGCCCACCTCGAATGCCGTCCTGGCCAGCAGCTGCAGCACGTAGATCTTCATGAGCCCGTCCTCTCGGATGCGCCGCCGGCCGTCGTGCTTGGGCTTCAGCGGGCTCTGCTCTTTATTCTCCTTCTCACTTTCCAACTCCATTTCTGGGTACATCATGGGGTCCTCTTCGTGGTCCTCTTCCGTCTCCTCCAGGGCACGGTGCTGCTTCCAGTGCATGGCATAAGGCTTGCTCCGAGCTGCTTTCTTGTCGGCCTCACCGTGCTCCATCTTGGCGATCTTGTGGATGGCATAGCCCAGGTACATCACAGAGGGCGTGGCCACCAGGATGATCTGGAACACCCAAAAGCGCACGTGCGACAGCGGTGCGAAGGCATCGTAGCACACGTTCTCGCAGCCTGGCTGCTCTGTGTTGCACACAAACTTGCTCTGCTCGTCGTAGTAGATGGACTCGCCCCCCACCGCCGTCAGGACAATGCGGAAGACGATGAGCACCGTGAGCCAGATCTTCCCCACGAAGGTCGAGTGGTTGTGGATCTCCTCCAGCAGGCGTGTCAGGAAGCTCCAGCTCATGGTGGCTGAACCGCTCTGCCCTGTGAGGAGGGGAAAAATAATCAACAGATAATGAAACTCCGCACTGGGGGCTGGGGATGGGAGTGCAGGGCCAGCACTGAGCCATACCCAGCCCGAGCAGGATTAAAATCTTGGCATCCTTCTCAATCTCTGCATCTCAGGAGGCCCTGCCTGCATGTGCCCCCTTCCAACATTGCCCCCTGGGCTCCCAGGGCCAAGGAATCCGGCTTGCCTCCACATCCTTCCCTAGCTGGAAAAGCTAGCCAGGGCTCCTCACCACTAGGGGCACAGCTTGGACTCAGCAGCAGGTTTCAATGTGTGGCATAGTTTCATGAATCGACAGAGCCTCAAGGGACAGAGGAGAAAGGAGGCGCATCCTGGCGGTCCTGCCCCACCCTAGGAAGAGCGAGTTCTGGAGCACTGGTACCATGTCACAGGTTCTAGTGATGGCGTGTGGCAACAGCCCAGGCCCAAAATGGAAGAGCAGGAGCAAGGAGACCCCAACTCCACTGTATGGATGGACTTTGGCTTCTCCTAGAAGCCCATGGCACAGGCTCCTACAGCAAACATTACCCCCTTTGCCATGCCTGCATTCTGTCTGGGGTGAAGATAGCTGATCTAATCAATGGCCAAACATTGTAAATGGCATTTGGTTTTCTTTTCTGCAGGTCTGGGGACAGAACTCAGGCTCTCCCACATGCCAGGAAAACACAGGGGCTTTGTGTTTTGAGACAAGGCTCACTAAGGTGTCAGCCAGCCTCAAATCCCCAGTAGCTGGGATTACAGTGCTGTGGCACCATACCCAGGAAAACAGCCTTTTTTTACAGAGTTTTATCCTGAGATTCTCAGGTCTATGTCAAGAACCCAAGAACCCAAACATTACATAAAACGTTTGAAAACCAGGTGTGGTGGCACATCTCTAGTTCCAGGGCTTGGAAGGCTGAGGCAAGAGGAGCTTCGAGGTCAGCCTGGGCTACACAGTGAATTCAAGGCCAGTCTAGGCTACAGAGCAAGATCCTGGCTCAAAAAACAAACAGTGGTGGCTCTCGTCTGTAATCCCAGCACTCAGAGGCTGAGGCAGGAGGATCGCTGTGAGTTTGAGACCAGCCCAGGCTGGTGAGCTCAAGGCCAGCCTGAACTACAAAAAGACCTTGTCTCCAACAGACCAAAAAAAAAAGATATGTGTGAGGTCCCGTGCGGGCCCTGTCCTGTTTGTACTGCAAACCACAGCGGAAGTGTACTTACCTGTCACCCAGAGCGCCCGTCACCTGGAAGCGCCTCAGAGAAATGCAGCTTTCCCAACTTCCCTCTGGAAGGGAAGAGGAGAGTAGGTCACGAGCTTCCTTCCCTGGAGAGCACCAGAGAGTCACTAGGGGGAGTCAAGTTCTCTACTGTCACAGAAGTCACTGCAGAGGAGGGAGGATTTTGGCCGCCATCCAGTCCCCAAGCAGACACGTGCGTGGGAAAAGCTGTGTGGCAGGGACCCTGGGCTCTGAGGTCGCTGTGTGCACCCAAGGAAAGTCACCGTAACAGGCTGGGCTGGGGCTCACTGGCATCTGCGGCAAGGTCCTGAGACAGAGACCAGCCCGCTCCCACTGCCAGCACCTCTTTTGGGCTGAGCTCGGCCCACAGCTGGCCTGGAGGATAGGGGCTCAGCTGGAGGTGATTTATAGACCACAGCACAGTCAGAGAAGGAGAACACCTGCACCCATACTGTGGCTCCAGATAAATAAATAGGCCATGGTGGAGGGAGCCTCACTCCTCCTCACCTACCACCTCCTCCATTATTACCCTTAACAAAATTCCAAACAGTCCCCTGCTGGGCGTGCAGTGGAAAGCTGCAGTCCCAGCATGCTGCTAGGCTGCAAGTTCAAACCCAGCCTGGGCCACTTAAGTGAACACTCCCACCTCAAAATTTAACAAATGGGAAATGCTGGGGATATAGCTCAGGGTGGAGGCCCTGGATTCAATCTCCATTATCATTTTTAAAGAAATCCATGCATGTTATGTGTCCACAGTAGTTCAATAAAGCTTGCTTGCTTTTTTAATTTTTTTATCTTTTTGAGACAGGGTCTCGTTATGCAGTTCAGGGTGGCCTTGAGCTCACTTTGTAGCCCAGGCTGGTCTCCAACTCTCAACAATCCTCCTGCTTCAGCCTCCCAAGTGCTGGGATTACAGGAATGAGCCACCAGGCCCAGCTTTGCTTGCTTTTTTTAAAGACAGGGTCTTGCTCTGCAGTTCATGCTGGCCTTGGACTCACTATGTAGCCCAGGCTGGTCTCCAACTCACAGGGATCCTCCTGCCTCTGCCTCCTGAGTGCTGGGCTTTATAGGTGAGCACCACCATGCCTAGTTGTTATTAAAAAGGTTTAATAATACATACTGACAGCTCTCTAAAAGACTGAGACAAGCGTATTACAAGTTTGTGCTTAGTGAACAACCTGAACAACTTAGTGCTTAGTGAATCCCTGTCTTAAATGGCTGGGGGTACAACTCAGTGATGGGGGAAAGTGCATGGCTCTACTTGGATGTAAGCATCAATATCTGCAGTAGACAATGTAACACACAAACATTCTACAAGTTATAAAACGCACAAACCAAAGTAAACGATACTCCCACACACTTTTTGGCTATAATGGGGTTGAATCCAGGGCATTGGCACTGAGCACTGACCCCACTCTTTTTTATTATGAGTTGGGGTATCCAAAAATGCTGAACTGCCCAGGCTGGGCTCCAAATTCCACACATATACACACACACCCCAGCCTTTGTGCCCAGCTGCAGGCCTCGTTTGCAACCCGAGGGTGAGGAGTGCCACAGTGATTCATACCTGCCAACTCCCTGCAGGCAGTGCTTTCCTACCCCTGGGGCCTGAAATGCATTTTCCAGCAAGCCAAAATCTAGAAGGCCCAGCCGTTTGTGAGAGAACTTACCCTGCGTATCCAGACAGGGTCTCTCCTCTCCTACTTTCTCCATGGAGAGCTAACCTGGGCCTCAGCCACCCCTTGCCCAAGAACCTTTTCAGCAGTGATGGCCCTGGAAACATTGGAGCAGTTAGCTCCGATGCTAACCCCTCGTACACGGCTCTGCTCTGCCTGGTGAGAGGCCTGCAGCTTTCGAGGGCAGCTGCACGGGCACACACACACACACACACACACACCGCTTCTCCTGGCAAGGCTGCAGGCTGCACACACACACACACACACACACACACATACACACCCCACTTCTCCTGGCAAGGCTGCAGGCTGCAGGCTGTACACACACACACACACACACACACACACACACACACACACCACTTCTCCTGGCAAGGCTGCAGGCTTGGGAAAGGTGGCAGCTGCAGCCTGGCTCCTTGGTTATTGGGAGAGCCATAGCACCCCACTCCCAGCCCCTAGAAGTCTCTGGACTGTGTCAGGAGAGTTTATGCTCTAGACCACAAAATGGCCCAGGGCAGAAACTAATCTGAGTATCTGATCCTCTGTATGTAGCAGGTACATGGAGTATTTCATTTTCTTTCTGTGGGGAAAAAAGAGTAAACCAATAACATTAAAAGAAGCTGACATACAGCTGGATATGATGGTACATTTCTCTAATCCCAGGTGCACAGGAGGCCAGGCAGAAAGATCTCAAACAGAGGCCAGCCTGCGAAAAGCCTTGATCCAGGCCAGAAAGACCCTGAATCAAAATAAACTTTAAAATAAAGGCCGAGGGCGCAGCGGTGGTGCTTGTCAAGCACATGCAAGGTACTGAGTTAAATCCGTACCACTACAAAAAAATAAAATGAAATAGTTAATTTAACAAACTGAAATGCAGCTCAGTGTTAGAGTACTTGCTTAGCACATGAGGCCCTTGATTCCATCCCCAGCACATGAAATCACGGCACTGTGAAAACACTATGGTCACCATATTTCCTTTCTCCTTGGCCCACAAGAAGATGCATTCTGGGGATGAAACACGCTAGCTCAGGGCTTAGGAGGAAAGCAGGGTTTATGTCTGCCTGGCATATGTTGCGGTCCAGGTGACCTGCAAGGCCTCCTTGTGGCCTGGCAGGAAGTCCTCCGGTTGTGGAGACAGCGCCCACAAAGAAACACAGTCCCCAATCCCAGAGCCTCTCCAGCTTTCTGCCTGGTGACGTGATCTCCACCAGGATGGTGTCATGCACCATCAGGACCCATGAGCTCCAGTGGTGGGCTGAGCGACACTGCATCCCTAAAGCATCCCCTGCAGGCATCTGCCACTGTGACAGGAAACTGAAATCTTGAGGGTTATAAGATGGGTCCGGCAAGCACCTGTCCACTCCGGGGATCCCTGCTTCCTGCAAGAGGCAGTAGCAGCCGGTGTCGTGCCAGTGCACAGCATCTCCGCCAGCCCCACCAGATGCACACTCACACTCCAGAGACTCACATCAGCTTACACAACAATGCTGAGGAGAAACAAATGTGCTACTCTAAGTGCATTTTCCAAAGAAGTGAAGATACCAGTCTACCTCATCTTGCACAAGAAAGTAAAATTTTTGCCTGGTAAGCAGGAAGTCATAAAGTTTGATTCCCAGTACCAAAAAAAAAAAAAAAAAAGAAAGCAAAATTTTAGCAGTTAGTTGGTCTCAGCATAACAATAAATTATGTCATTCCTCCCCACATTTTATTTTGGGGCATGGGTGCTGCTGTGAATTGAACCCAAGGCCTCACATATGCTAAGAAGAGCTCTCCATGGCCAGGGATTTAGCTTAGCAGCACAAGCACCTGCCTGACAAGTGCAAGGCTGTGAGTGAGACCCCTGGTACCAGAAAAAAAAGGGGGGGGGGCTGGGGATTTAGCTCAGTGGCTAAGCACCTGCCTTGCAAGCAGGCAGTTGTGAGTTCGATCCCCAGTACCGATAAAAATGAAAATGACAAAAAAAAAAAAAGAGCTCTCTAGCTCACTGGCCCTGTGGTGGATAGAAAACTGGTGGTCAACTTGTTAATCAGCACAGTGCCAAGTGTGGATGTCCACCTGAGGACTGTTGCTGGCATAAAAAGGAGACCTGAAGAGGAAGAGTAGCATTGTGGATTCTCCTAAGCATTTTTTGGAGCTGTTGGTTCTCCCTCCTGGAGGAGTTTGACATGCTGGCTCCCCTAATATGAACTCAGCTGTTATCAGAGGAGCTCAGGACCCTGTTGCTGAGAATGGCTGTGGTTCATTTTGGGAGAGCTCTAGTCCCCACTTTGAGCACTGTTTAATGGCTCCAGAGGGGAAGGTGTGTGCTGTTCAGTCTCCAGGAGAAAACTGTTATGCTGGCTTCCTGATATGAACTTAGCTGTTCTCATCATCAGAGCTCAGGACCTCGTCACTGAGGATGACTGTGGTACTTTTCGGAGGAGCCCTGGTCCTAACTTTGAGCCTTGCTTCCTGGCTCCAGGGCAGAACCCTCACCTCACTGGCACAGACTTTCTAGCTTCCACTGCTGACCTTTGGCCTTCCCAGTACAGATCCATGAAACAGACGTGCATGAGTAACTGTCACAGGCTCTGGGCCTCCGGCTGGACTCAAGGGAGGCACAGTCATAGGCTCTAGGTTTTCAGCCGAACTCATGCAGGTTATTGCCATGGGATCCAAGCCCTCGGCTGGATTCTGTAGGTCTTTAGTCTGTAGACAGATTTCCCGCACTTTCTTTGTATGTGACTTCCTGGATCACCTTACAAATAATACTATAAATTATGTGTCCTGTATGTAATAGTTCTCCTTGTAACTCCTGACTACTACAGGCCCCAAATTCTTCTTAGGAGTTTTCTATCGAATAGGTCCTGGTGGTGTACTCGGGAGGCTGAGGCAGGAGGATGGTGGCAAGTTGGAGGCCAGCCTGGGCTACATAGTGAGTCCAAGGCCAGCATGATCTATCTAGTGAGATCCTGTCTCAAAAAACAAACAAACATTTTCTGTCACTTATATACTAACAAGATAAAAAATTAATGTATTTTTCTATATATTAGAACTCAGTATTTCTGAAGATTATATGGAAAGCACATCAGTTGGTTTCTCAGGACGCAGGTTAGAACAATTACAAAGACATGGTTGACGTGGTGACACATGCTTGGAATCCCCGCTACTTGGGAGGCTGCAGGAGGATCAAAAGTCAAGGCTCCCTTGGGCAACTTAAGACTACCTCAAAACAAAAAAGGCTAGAGATGTAGCTCAGTGCAAAGGCCCTGGGTTCAATCCCTAGTAGTGTGGAAAGGAGGGGAGAGAGGGAGGGAGGGGAAGAAGGGACAAAGGGGTGGGAAAGGAGGAGAGGCAAGGAGGGGGGGGAGGGGAGGAAAAGAGAAAGAAAAACGGAAGGAGGAAAGGCAAAGCAAGGAAAACAAACAGAGACATAGAAACATCTTTAAAGACTAAAAGTAAACTTTTAGAGATGTAAATCACATCTGAGCTTAGACACTAAGATGGTAAACTTGAAAATGCTGTAACAGAAATACCCAGAATAAAATGAGGACAAAGAAATGGGGGGAGGGGATCAGTGAGCTGTAAAGTGACTAAGAGAACTAATATACAAGTAACTGGCACTCCAGAAAAGGGTTTGCAGAAATAACAGGCAGGGGTTCATAAATCTGATTAAACTGTACACACAAACAAGAAATATTTAAAATGCCAAGTACAAGAAAAAGGAAGCAGAGAACACCACAGCACACTATAACCGAACTGCTTAAAATCAATAGTGAAGGGTGATGCAGCCCGCAGCGACCACGCAGGTAAACAGCTTGGAGATGCTTAGGAGAAACAGCAGAAGCCAGGGAGGACGGGACAACCCCAGAAAAATCCGGGAAAAAACTGAAGTCCGGGGGAAACCCAGACTCCAGGTAGTGCCATAGCTCACGGCAGAGCAGCTGCTAGCAGGCTTGAGGTCTTGGGTTTGATCCCTAGCCCTGCCAAAACTCCGGGATTCTGTACCCTGAGAAATCAGAGCCCCAAGATGGGGAGCCCCAAAAACACCAGGAAATGGAACACAAGGAACAGCGGCCTTGACAGCAGCAGGGCTGCCTCCCTGCAGCGGCCAGGGCTCCATGGGATGCTGTGGCGAAGCGCTCAGAGCTCCTGGGCCCCATGTATGTGTTCTATGAGTCCTGGCCACACCGTGCCCGCGGGAAGTCACACCTGCTGTCCACGCTTGAGGACCCTCGAGGGTGTGTCCTCACCACACCCAAGCCCTGGCAGTGACAACAGAACCGACTGGGCAGCCAGAAGGGCAGAGCAGCCCAGACACCGCCATGCTGACCTGACCGGTGCGTCCCGGCAGATAGGGAGCCTACGAACGGCTGCCTCCTGAGCACACGAGAAGCTGCAGGTGACCCTGGGACACTGATGGACTGAGAGACAGGAAGGGCTGGGCCGCAGAGCCATGGCAGGCAATGGTCCCAACCTGTGCCAAGCCCTGGGTCCCGGCCCCAGCTGTGAAAAACTAACAATGAAGATAAAAGTCCTGCACATCTGTAATCTCAGCCCTCAGGAGGCTGAGGCAGGAGGACTGAAAATTTGAGGCCAGTTAGAACATTTTAGCAAAACCCTGTCCGAAAATTTTAAAAGGCTGCAGGTGTAGCTCAGTGCAAAGGCCCTAGGTTCAATCCCAGCACAAGAGGGAGGAAAAAAAAAAAAGAGAGAGTAGAGTCTCCCACAAACCATTGGTATGATACTTGCTATACTTACTTAAATGTGTGGTACTGGGGATTAAACATGGGTGCTCTATCACTCAGCCATTCCACCAGATCTTTTAAAATTTTTAATTCTGAGACAAGTCTAAGTTACACAGATGCTACTCAAACTTATAACCCCCCTGCCTCAGACTCCCAAGTGTTGGAACACTGTTGTGAGCCAGCAGGCTCAACTGATACCAGCTTTTCTTTCCTTTAAAGGTACTGGAAGCTGAACCCAGAGCCTTAACACTGAGCTACGCCTCCTCCACACTGAAGTGCACACTGTAGACCCTTCTGCCTCAGTCTCCTGGAGTGCTGGGATCACAGGTAGGTGCCCCACACTTGGCTTTCCTTCCTTTACTGAAATCTTCATTTCTTCACGGAGCTTCAGTGCAGCACCTGGGGCCTGTCCCTTCACCTCTGGAGACTCCTCTGGACTGTGGCAGGGCACCTTCTGTCCATCTGGGGTACCCCATCTCCCCTTACCTCTGCAGAGTTTCTCAGGACATCTGGTGCTTGGCAGATAGTTTCCCTGCTGAATCCATTGGCCTCACCTTCTGGCTCGAGGTCCTCCTAGGCTCCTGCCCGCACGGCACAGAGTACAGCTTCTGTGCTTCAAGAAGCCATTGGGGGCAGCGAGGGTCTCTCCTGCCTGATGCCCACCCAGGGCTCCATCCCCAGCACCACCAACAGGTCTGGGGGGAAACGTGAGCCCCACGCCTCTCCGCACCTGCCTTTCTGGGCTGGAAGGGTCTCAGCCACCTCTCCTTCAAGCCATCTCCAGCACTGCCTGTTACCTGGTGCCCATGTTGCGCGTGCCCACAGGACTCTGTCCATGGATCTCATTTCCTTTAGTCCCTCGGCCTCCAGAAGCCCACCGTCCTGCTTCAGGCCCAGGGGCTCTCCTGCCTGCGTGACTCTGCCTTTGGGTTCTGGAGTGTGTTACTGCAGTCACTGTGCTCACTCCCAGCCTCAGAGAAACGTTTTCAGCGCCGGTTGGGTTTTCTATCTCTGCTTCCACCTGGTTCCGACACCCTTTCCGTGACTTCTCCACATCTGGCTGTCACTCTTGAACACCTTGTCTGGCAGCTCTGCTCCTAGGCCTTTTACAGGGACAGTTTCTATGGGCGATGACTCCCCTGGGTTTTGATTGTTCACTTTTGCTTCTTCTGTTGTTTTTGTCTTTTTGAGACAGGGTCTCACTACATAGCCCAGATTGACCTCAAACACAATGATCCTCCTGCCTCACCCTCCAATTACAAGCATGCATCACCATGCCCTGCTGTTTGTTCTCCTGGAATAGGCTCTAGTCCTGTTTCTTTGTATGCTTTGTGACTTCTTGTTGTTATTGATGGTGGTATACACATACCTATAATTCTAGAACTCTTGGAGGCTGAGGCAAGAGGTTGCAAGTTTGAGCCCAGCACGGGCAAGACTGTCTCAAAATAAAAAGTAGGCTGGGGATGTAACTCAGGGTGAAAGGCCTGGGTCAAGCCCCAGTACTGCAAAAACAAAAAGCCCCTGGACAACTAAGTTTAACATAGAATAGCACCAGAAATCAGACTTTACTGCTTGCTTGCTTGTTCATTTGGGGCACTGTATGTATGGTTTTGTTACTCGCCTCTTATAGGCTGTCTCTGCCAAGAACCTGCGTGCTGCATACTCTGAGCACACACCACTCTGCGGCCGCCTCTTCCCCTGGGCAGACACCGCCTGCCACTTCCTAAATCCTTCCCCTGCACAGAGTTTTGAAGATCCCAGTGTTTAATGTCTGGCTCTCAAATGGGGAGAACAGAGAAAGGGCAGGGAGAAAAAAGTCCCCCTGGAAGAGGCGACAGTGTGGGCTCTGACCCCAGTGCACACAGCCGCCTGCGCTGCGCTGCGAAGCGGTGTGGCCTACAACCCTGGTCCCAGAGCACTTGGCACACTCGGAGCAACAGCTGTCTGGGAGGCCCTGGGCATCCCACTTTGCCATCCTCTCTGGATCTTCCTACCATTTTTTAATCTGCACTAAAGCATAAGAACCAGGAAATAAAATTTTTAAAGTAGAGGAGTTCTAAAGGTTTTGTAAATACAATGACCAAATACAAATGATTGGAGCTAACTTTTAATCTCTTGATTAAAAAGTGAGCCCCAAAACCCATTAATAAAGCAGCCTATATTTTAAAATCTTAATTTCTTGTCTAAACAAAACTAAAATTGAGGATGAACTAAAATTAATTTTGTAGAACAGTGATTCTTAACCTTAAACTTTGTAAAACAGAGCAAGTACTCCTAGCCAAGAAACTTAATTCTGGAATGCGATCCAGGCACTTCAAAAATGTTATTTCTTTCCACATTTTCATCTGTGAAATAAATGGAGAATATCAAATAAGTGGCTTCTAAGATCCCTTGTATTACCATTTGATAAAATTATCCTGGCACAGTAAAATACAAAAAACAACTGAAAAACTGTGTGGAATTCAGCACTCTGAGAACAGGAAGGAAGGAAGCAAAGTAACAGCAGCAAAATTAAACAAAAACAAGATGTCACATTTTCAGACAGACATTTCCCACACATGATCACCCCAGAGCATCTGCAGCCCCAGAGCGTCCACAGCAGGCCCCCACTACAGAATCCCAACCTGACTCAGTGCAACTCTGAAACCAGGTCTCAAGTCTGGGCTCATCCTGGGACCCCAAGCCTGGCCTGGGTGGGAAGTCAATGGCAGGGTGCACAATGCATTTCTGTGTAACTGGAACATTTTAAGTGGAAGTTAATTCCACATGAGTGCTAATAGATGTTTAATAACTGGCTGGTGATAATTCCTAAATAAAAGAACCCACAGCTAACTACAAACGGTAATCAATGTGTTCCAAACAAGAAAACAATTTATTTTCAGAGTTCCTGATGATGGACAATATTTGGGAAACACAAAACGTAATTCACTGTGAATCAAATTGTAAAACCTCCTGGGAAGAGAGTAGCTTCAGATCTTGGCTCTGTCAAGCAAGGAGGAAATGAAACGCACATTGTGAGCTGAAGTGCCAATTTGCTCTGGCAGCGAGCCGCGCTCCCGGGGCTGCAGAGCATCCGGGCACCGGCTGGAGGGGAGTGCAGCAGGGACAAGGCGGTGTTCAGGCAGCCAGAGGGGCTCTGTCTTCATGCACAACGATGCTGTTGGGACACGTGTCCAGGCAAGCTGCGCCCTGTTCAGCCCAGTGCTCTGAGCAATGCCCAACCTGGGAAATGAACATAGCTGAGACAAAAATAAGCACACATTTCCAACTCAACTCTGCTTACAATGCTTAAGCTCCACAGGGCGCCTGACAGCTCTGCAGACGTGGCCAGCAGCTCTGCATGGCGGGTTCAGGCAGTCCTCACCGAGAGCCTTAGCTGGGCGAAGTGGCACACACCTGTAACCCCTGGGGAGGCTGAGGCAGTCCAAGGCCCCCTGCAAGGTCCCCAGCGCTACACACTGAGCCCTCAATCAAAAAGAATGCCCTGGCCCTGCCCATTAGACTTTAAGGGGACACAAGTGTGTGACCTAGTGAGCCAGCACACAACATGTCAGAATCCTGGCACTCAGGACTGGGCAGGAGGATGGTCAGGTTCAGGGCCAGTTGGGTTACATGAGAGCCTGTCTTAAAAAAAGAATCTTGGGGCTGGGGATTTAGCTTAGTGGCTTAAGCGCCGGCCTGGCAAGCGCGAGGTCATGAGTTCCATCCCCAGCACACACACACACACACACACAAAAACAAACAAAAAAACTCATATAATTCAACTGTCTACAGTGGTATACAAAAAATCCAAAATTATACAGACAAAATCAAATGAGCCAGGTATAGTGTCACACATTTGTCAGTCCAGTACTCTGAGAGCTGAGGCAGGGGGAACGCAAATTCAGACCCAGCCTGGGCAATCTAGGGAGACCCTGATTCAAAATTAAAAAATACAAGAAGGGCTGGGGGCATAGGCTCAGGGTTCAGTCCCCCATACTACAAAAATGAATGAATAAAGATCCTAGTGAAAAAATGAGAAGTGACTACCAATGGTGTGCAGTTTCTCCTGAGGGGAAATAAAAGTATTCTAAAATTGATTTTGGTGATAATTATATAACCTTGTAGATACACTGAAAACATGAAATTAGACATTTTAAATGAGTGAGCTATAGTGTATATGAAATATATTTCAGTAAAGCTGTTTTTGAAAATGTTAATGTCCGCTGTGGGCTCAATCTCTAGTATTGCTAAAAATAAATATCTAAATAGCTAAAAGGCCACCATGTCCCCTACGTCCACCTGACAGACAAGATCCAGTCCCCTAGGGCTGGGATGGTCCTCTATTGTGGTTATTGGGGTGTCTTGCTCCATACAGGGCAGGGCTGACGAAGTTTTTAGAGCCCTCAGTGACACAGTCAGCCCACTACAGCACAGTGCGGTAGGCTCACCAGCACTGCCACAGCAAGCCTGCAGCACCTCTGGCCTCTGCCAACTGTTGACAGCCAAAAGCACTGTCAGATGCCCTCAGGGGAAAGACCACTTTCCATGGCTAGGATATAGCTCAGCAGCGTAAGTGCCTGCCTGGCAAATACAAGGTCCTAAGTTGGATTCTTAGGACCAAAACCATATATGTATATTGGTTTTGGTTATTTAAAATGGGGCTGGGGATGTAGCTCAGCAGCATAGTGCCTGCCTGACAAGCACGAGGCCCCGAGTTCAATTCCTGGTCCCCCCCACCCGTGAAAAAGGCTGCCATCCACTCAGAGCCACTGGTTTAAACTGGTATGGTAGCACTCCTGTCTCAGCATATGAGGTGCAAATTTGAGGCCACCCAGCAAGATTCTGTCACAAGCACACAAACAAGACAGGAAGACTATGACTGTGAGGCCAGCCTGGGATGCATAACAAGATTCTGCCTAAAAGAACAACAGAGCCGTTGGTTTGTTTTGATCCTCAGACAAAAGGAGTCCCAGAAAGGACCCGTGTGGGACTGGTAGAGAACACTCACTTTGCTCACTCACCAGGCCGCTCTCCAGTGAGCACCCAGGCACCCACTCTGCCAGCCTGAAACGATGAGCAATTCCACAAACACCACAGAGCTTTGAAGTGCATATGTCTGCCCCCTGCTCCATGCTGCTGGACCCAGAAACAGTCCTGGGTCCTAAGGCACACAGGTCAGCTCTAGACCAGCAGTTCAGTACCATGCTGACTCCCACCTGGGTCCCTTTCACTGCTGGTTACCAATCTGCTCAAGTGGGAACCCACCAGCCAGCACACTTCTGCTGCTATTCAGTGTCTCCTATAATAAACGCTCAGTAACAGAGCTGGCAGAGCTGTGCTATGAAACAAAAGCCCTCTGAGAACTTTTAAGAGTAAGTTAGGGTCCAACTTTCATAAAATTTGCACACATTCCTACAGAACTAATTAAGTCATGAATCACAGAAGAGTGGAAATGTGATACCCAAGCCTTGCTAGCTGGAGTCCAGAGCTTAGTATTTATATGATGAAACAATCTCTTTGGTATACTCAGTTCATCCCCTTGGACACAGGAGTGCAAGACAGAATTTACATAAAATTGCACTCCAGAGTAAAATACAGGCTAGTGGATCCAGAGGGTGGTTCTAAGGTTTTAAGGATGTATCAGGCTAAGGATGATGGTTCACACCTCTGCTCCCAGCTACCAGGAAGATGGAGCAGTGATCACAAATTCAGGGCCACCCTAGTTACTTAGCAATGAGATCCTGCTGCAAAACCAAAAAACAAACAAACAAAAAGCCCAAACTCAAAAACCAGTAAAACAATTTTTTTCTTTGACTTGAAAGAAAGGAAAGCAAGGGTGTATTAATGGGCTGAAAGTGTGGCTCAGTAAAAGAGCACTTGCCACCCACACATGAGCCCCTGGGCTCCATTCTCAGCATCACAAAAAAATAAAAGACACCCATGTCAGAGGATGACAGCATTCTGGTGTGTGTGTGTGTGTGTTGCCCTGACTTTATACACTGAGGCCTTTGACTCTCTAGGCAGCCCAGGCTGCCCTTAACTCACAATCCTCCTGCTTCAGGCTCCTAAGCAGCTGAAATTACAGACAATACACTTGTATTTTGTCGTTGTTGTTGTTACAGGGTCTACCATGTAGTTCAGACCACCCTTCAGCTCTCTACATAGCCAGGCTGGCCTCAAACTCACAGTGCTTTTCCTACCTCAGTCTCCTAAATGTGGAGATTGCAGACATGTGCCACCACACTCAACAGTGGCATACTGCTGAACCTAGTTACAGGCGAGTTCTATAAAATGGTTTACTGGACATGTGAAAATGCTGCAGGGGCATTCTACCTACCCTAACCACTGCTTCCCTGTCTCTCTGTGATGTCAGGAGCCCATGTTGTTTTTCTTTTCTTTTCTTTTTTTTTTTTTTTTTTTTTGAGACAGGGTCTGTATGCATCTCAGGCTGGCCTTGAGCTCCCTTTGTAGCCCAGGCTAGTCCCAAACTCCCAAGGATCCTCCTACCTCAGCCTGAGTGCTGGGATTATAGACATGAGCCACCACACCCGGCTCGAAATTAATTTTTTCTTTTTTCTCTTTGGTACTGCGGATTGAACTCAGGACTCCGCACTTGCCAGGCAGGCGCCTACTGCTGAGCTACATCCCCAGCTCCCTGTGTTGTCAGGGATTCTTCTGTTGCAGGAACAGTAGGCCCATGAAATTCAGTATGGACTCAATAGGCCCATCTCTCTGGAGTCACATTAATCACTCGAACATGGCCCTAGATGGATGTGCAGTCTGAAGTACTCTGCTATTTATGGCTTTGGAGATTAGCTAAACTGCAACCCACCACTGACTACTGCAGGCAGGAACCACTTACCTGCATTTTACTACCTATGTTAAGAAGCTGTGGGGCTGGGGATTTAGCTCAGCGGCATAAGCGCCTGCCTTGTAAGCAGGCAGTCATGAGTTCGATCCCTGGTACCGATAAAAAGCGAAAAAGACCAGAAAAAAAAAAAAAAAAAAAAAAAAAAAAAAAGAAGCTGTGCTCATATAGATGTAATTTTGGGGCTTTTTGTTTTGTTTTGTTTTTTATCGGTACGGGGGATTGAACTCACAACCGCCTGCTTGCATGGCAGGTGCTTATGCTGCTGAGCTAAATCCCCAGCCCCCCATACAGATGTAATTTTAAACCCTAGGGCAAAAACAAATAAAAAGCAAAAGAAACAGAACTTGTAACATTTTTTTTTTTTTTTTTTGTCTTTTTCCTTTTTATCGGTACCAGGGATCGAACTCATGACTATCTGCTTGCAAGGCAGGTGCTTATGCCACTGAGCTAAATCCCCAGCCCCCAGAACTTGTAACTGTTGAGCATCCTCTACCTGCAGTTAAAGCACTGAGGTGTCACTGGCTGTAACCCCAGCACTCCAGGCCTGATGGGTAGACAGCAAGTTGCCAGACCTGTCCCCAAAATGAACAGAAGGGTGGTTGAGTGAGAAGAGAAGAGAGTGGCTTACTCTTCATTCTGCCGCGTATCCGTTTTGAGAGTCTCCCTAACCTGTCTGCCCAGGCTGGCCTTGAACTTGGGACCCTCCTGCCTCAGCTCTGGAGTAGCCAGGATCACAGATGTGCCCTGCTCACTACCAACCCTTTCCCACCTCTAAGATCTTGCACCACATGATGCACTACCTACTCAAAAACTGACCTTGGGGCTGGGCTCAGCTGTACAGCACTTGCCTAGCATGTTCAAGGCCCTGGGTTCCCCAGGGCCAGCTGAAGCAATCTACTCTCTCAAAAGCAAAAGCAACTTTAAACTATCTTGGCAGTGCACACCTGTCATCTCAGCATGCTGTGAGGCTGAGATGGGGAACTTAGCAACTTAGCAAGATTCTGTCTCAAAATAAATGATAAAAAAGGACTAGGGATATAGCTCAGTGTGAAGGCCCTAGGTTCAATTCCCAGTACTGCCCCACAAAATCTTTAAAAAGCTGATTAAGTAAAATTCTCAAGTTACAGAACTGTCTATGTCACCTTTGATATGTAAATATATAAAAGCCAAAGCTGCTCAGGACAGTAATTATACTGACCCAAGTTGGCCCAGAAAACGGGGGGGGGGGGGGGGGGGGGGAATCAGTTCCAGAAGTAGATATGGCAGTCAAAGAACTAACCTTCAGTTTCCTCATTTCATCTGACGATGTGCATGAGTCCACTGGACTCACCTTCCGGGTCTCCACACTGTGCAGACCCCACCGCTGCATTTTTGGCCTTGTAAAGTGAGATCAGGCAACAGCTGCCAAATGCTCACCCAGCTCTGTGTCTATACAAGGTACAAAGGAAGCACAGAAGCCTCACTGTCCACCTCACCTCAGCCAGCAACCACAGAGCCTGGGGAGCACTCAGAAAACCCCACCCTGAGTGAGCCACGGATCTGGGCTGTGCAGACAGACATTACTCCCAACTCGACACAAATGCTGAAACAGGGATCACCCAAACAACCAAACTAGTAAATCCCAGCCAGGCTTGGTGGTACGCCTGTAACCCTAGCCACTGGAGAGAGCGAGGCAGGAGGATCTCAAGAGTAAAGCCAACATAGGAGAACTTAGAAACAACTCAAGATAAAAGAGAAAAAGGGCTGGGGATGTAGCTCAGTAGCCCCTTTATTGAATCCCCACCACCACAGAAAAGAAAAGAAAACAGAGATGCATCAAGCAAAAGGTAAGTGCAGGTTACAAGAGTACCTCTGAAGGTGTGCCTAAACTATCTTAGGAAGAACAGAAAGACTCCTGCAGGTGCCACTCAAGGAGGCCAGGAAGAGTAAAGACCTGCCCTGGAGGCAAGGAGTCAGTCACAGTACATGCTAAAAATATCTCTTTGGTTAGATCATGTGGATTTTTTTTTTTTTTAAAAAAAACAGGGTCTTACTATTAGTTAAGGCCAGCCTTGAACTGAGTATATAACCAAGGCTGTCCTCCAACTCTCAGAGATCTTCCTATCTCAGCCTCCAAAGGCAACTTAGCAAGACCCTGTCTCAAAAATGAAAAGGGCTGAGGCTGTAGCTCAGTTCAAAGGCCCTGTATTCAATTCCTAGTACCAAAAAAAAAAAAGAGAGAAAGAAAATGACAATTCTAGCTGTTATGGAAAGAATATAAGAGTTTATATTGCTTAGGGATACATATACAGCAAAAAGACAGAATTAGAAAGGATCAAGCTGACGATTACCGCCAGGAAAAAGGCTGTGGACGAGGCTGTCACCCAGAGGTGCAGGACCTGCTCATAGTAACAGTGACTTCTTGAGTTATAAGGTGGGCCTCAGGCACTTACCACAGTGGTGCTGCTTTTCCACAGATCTGGTGCCTTTATTTAGCACTACAGTGAATTGGTGCTCTTAACCACTGAGCCACATCCTCAGTCCTTTTAAAAATGTTCTTATTTTGAGACAGAGTCCTGCTGATTTCCCTAGGCTGGCTTTGAATATATGCATCTCCCACCTCAGCCTTCCGCAAGGCCAGCCATTACAGGCATGTACCCTGCACAGCCTCTGTTTTTGCTCCTCATTTGAAGCACTGAGGATTGAACCGCAGCCTCTGCACGGAGCTGCATCTTGTCTCTCTTATTACCATTAGTTTCTAGATCTGAGACAGGGTCTTACTGAGTCTCTTACTTGTTTAGGCTGGGCTCCAACTTTCGCTCCACTTGCCTCCCATCCTGTTCTGCCTGGATGACAGGTATGTACCACCCTGCCCAGTGACAGCTTTCTTCTTCTTCTTTTTTTTTTTTGGGGGGGGGGTCTTTTTTGAGACAGGGTCTCACTAAGCAGTTCAATCTGGACTTGAGCTCACTTTATAGCTCAGGCTGGTCTCAAACTTGCAATGATTGTCCTGCTTCAGCTGGAATTACAAGAGTGCACCACTATGCCAGGCCTTAAAACTGTATTTGTTCTTCATTCTTTTGTTTGTTTGTTTTGTTTTTGGGTACCAGGGATTGAACTCACGACTTCATGCTTGTCAGGCAGGTGCTTATGCTGCTGAGCTAAATCCCTGGCCCTGTTCTTCATTCTTAATAAAAGTCGAATGAGGAGCCAGGTGTGCTGGCGCTACTTGGGAGGCCAAGTGACTTGGACCAAGCTCCCAGCTACTTGGGAGGCCAAGGCAGAAGGGTCACAAGTGCAAGTACAGCCTGAGATTCAGCAAGACCCTATCTCAGAAAAAAGAAAAAGGATGGAGCTACAACTCAAACAGGGCCCTGAGGTGAATCCCCAGTACCATAAATGGTAAGAAGAAAAAAATCTAGTGCGGGCTGGGTGCAGCTCTTGCAGGGCAGCAGCCTGGCATATGTGAGGCCCTGGGCTTGGTCCCCAGACACCAAACAAAACTGAAGGCGGAAACCATTTAGAAAGAGGCTAACATGCTCTTAGGAGGAGCCAGGCTAGGAGTCTGACCTCAGAGAAGGACGAGCCCACCTCAGCCTAGCACGGGGATTTCAGGCAGGGGGACTGTGAGTTCAAAGCCACCTGAGCTACACTGCAAGACTCTGGCTGCAAAAAAGAAAGTCTACTAGGTATGGTGGCCCTCGTCTCTGATCCCAGCATTCAGGAGGCTGAGGAAGAAGGATCACAGCAAGTTTGAGCCAGTGTGGGCTACAGTGAGTTCAAAACTAGCCTGCAAGCACAGCACAGCAAAACAAACAAAAGAAAACACCAACTACCAAAAGAAAAGGTCTGGCCTCAATCAAAAGTTGATTAAAAAAACACACACACACATTGATAGAACCACTTCATGAAACATAGAACACTTTGAAATTCACATTGGAAAGTTCAGCTTAGAGCACCTCTGAGTGTCTCAGTAGAAACTCCAAATCAGTAGGCCAAAATCACAGCAGGGGTCTGGATCACATAAAAATTTAGCTTTCAAAATGTGTATGGTAAAAAAATATATATGTATGGTAACCGGGAGCACAGAAGGGCAAGTCTAGAGCGGGCGGACAGAAAGACTAAGAAAAGGCCTGTGCAGAGGGGAAAATGAGCCCAAAAGGAGACAGCCCTTAAGGCTGAAAGCTTCAAATCCAAACATACTAGGGCTCCAGGAAGCAGAGAGGGATGGGTCAAGGGGGCGCACTAAAGCACCATCATACTCTGCTCTGAGCATTCCCCAGCGGAGCACCGCAACTCATTCATAAGTAACAGAAAATTCAGTCAAAACCAAGGAGTCCTACAAAAAAACAGAAGAAAACAGCTGGAGTGGCCACATGGGAGCTGAAGACAGGGGATCTCAAGTTCCAGGTTAGCCTGAGCAAGATCATCTCAAAAAACTTTAAAGGACTGTGGGTGTAGCTTGGTGCAAAGGTTCTGAATTCAACCCTAGTACTGTGAGGGAAATATATTTTGAGAAAAAAAATGTAGTATTGATTTTTGTTGCACCTGGTTCAAAACATTCATTGGGGCCAAGACTTCAGCCAGGGTGTATGTCCACCATGAGAGGGGCCCAAGGTCCTCTCTCCAGCATAAGTTTGCTGAATGAATAGGTGCCAGAACATTTATTTATACATTTACTAGTTCCTCATTTCTTTCTTCGTGTGTGTGCACGTCTGTATAGTACTGGGGACTGAACCCAGGATCTTTTGCCCTGAACTGCAACCCTTTTTAAATGTTTTATTTTGAGAAAAGGTGTAGGTAAATTGCTTAAAGTCCTCAGGTTGGACTTGAACTTTTGATCCTCCTGCCTCAGCCTCCCAGACAGCTGGGATCACAGGTGTGCCCTGCCACACAGGCTACACCGGATCATTTAGTAACACATCCGTGGCAAGCAATACAGCCTCAAAGAAGCTTCAACTCTAAGCTCTACTCATACATTCCTCAGAAAACTGCGTTTTTCTAAAAGCAAAATGCTATCTATAAAAACATCATCTTGTCCCAGTTTTAGGAATACCCTT